CCTGTGTCACGCCACCGGCCTTCTCCTCTGGCGTCCTTATCTCCCTCTTGGCGATCTCGCTGGAAAACCTCGCCTCCAGCCTCACGCTCCCCACTGGAAGCTCCTCGATCACGACCCTCTCGCCAAGGATCCTTGCCGGTGTCGTGCCACTCGTCATGTGACTTCTCCTCGTGAGCAACTCCTCGATGACCTCCTCCGTCCGGAGCCCCTGATCTGATAGTCTCTGACACTACACTCTTGATCAAGTCCCTGAGCTCCTCGCGTCGGATGGTCACCGTGGCGTTCTGGCTGCCCGAGCTGCCGCCTGGGGCCTCCTGGCTGCCAGCGCCCACGTGGAACTCCGTCGCCTCCGTCCCCGCTTCGCCGTCGGCGGGCATGATCACCTTGGCCGTGGATCCCACGCTGCTTCGTCAGTGCGAGCGCGGCCGCGGACGAGGGCGCGCGAGCGGCAGACCGCCTACCTCGTGGCAGGGTCGCCTCCGCCCATGGCACCTCGCCCAGGCCACGCTCCGCTACCAACTGTGGCAGACGGAGACAGACTAGGTGTTTTACCCTTGAGCCAAAATTGGTCACGGACAGAAACTCCTGACGCTGAACCTATCAGTGAAAATCTGCCTCACTGCAACAAAGCGGCATGTGCGCGGCCCAGGGGGGGTCAGGGACGTAATGAAATAAGAAGAGGCGCCATGAAATCTGATGAAAATTCATGGCCCACGCCATGATAACCCCCCCCCCCTAGTGATCACCCCCCTCTTGGCCGCCCCCGATGGAATAAGGAGCAGCTCTCCAGGACGAGCAGCGGTACGGTCGGGCTGCTGGAATAAGGAACGATACATAAGAAACAAAACCCACGCATCCCAAGCCGACATCCGAAGGAACGGCCATGCAATCCGAAGGAACCCCGAAGGCGCCCGTCACCAAAAGAGCACCGGAACGCATGCACATCTGAGGAGCCACCGCGGGCCTTAACTCATCGAGCCGACTGCATCGGTACGGTTGCCTCCTCTGGGAACACTGACTTGGCGGCGCGCACAGGGGGGGTTCGGGGGAGGGGGGAACGCTCCTTACCAGAAGCCTGCTTCTTAGAATGCGCTGGCCTTACACCTACAGATAAGCTGATTGGGCCACCAAAGCGGCAGACATCATACTAAGGATCTGCGGTAATATGTTGTTACGTTCCCGGGCCCCGAAGATGATGATGATGATGATGATGATGATGATGATGCTGATGATGATGCTGCTGCTGCTGCTGCTGATGATGATGATGATGATGATGATGCTGATGCTGATGCTGATGCTGATGCTGGTGATGATGATGACGATGACGATGACGATGACGATGACGATGATGACGGCGCGGTCCGTAAAGGACCGCGCCTTCTGAGAAGCAGGGGTGCTTCTAAGAAGCCTGCCCCCTTTCCCCCTACCGTTGTGACTCTTGTGGGGAATCCTGGAGGCCTCGTGCGGCGAAACCCACTGCACTTGGGATCCCTCCCTCCTCCCTCCTCCCTCCTCCTCCTCCTCCTCTCCTCCTCCTCCTCCTCCTCCTCCTCCTCCTCCTCCTCCTCCTCCTCCTCCTCCTCCTCCTGGGCTTCTCGAATTTGCGTCGGATGTACGCTGGATCTACGTCGGACCATCGCCGCGCGAACGTCGCCCCGTGTCTGACGAGGCGGACGTGTGAGCCAGATGATGCGACCCTTGCGCGCCGCGCGAGGCCTCCAGGATTCTGACCATTGGGTACTGCCCCTCTTCTGTGCGTGGCCGACGCAGGCCGCAGCCTGGAACCTCGGAGGTCTGGCCTGGTCCTGCGGCCGCGGGGCGCCGGCCGGGCCTGGTGGGCTCATCTCCCACCACCACTACCATATGTAGGAGAGGGAGGAGGAGGAAGAGGAGGAGCAGAAGGACGAGGAGGAGAAGAACATCCTAATCTCCCCTTCTCCCCCGTCCTACGCGTTGGACGCCCGACATGGGCACGGAAAACATGGTCACATTGCCCGACAACACATGTTTTCCCAAACCGTCAGTGGCCGCTGTTGGGCAGGCTGCATACTTTATCTTCCCAGATCAGCGTCTGCGGCGGCGCGGACAGCGAGTCCTGCTCAAAACGAGCAGGAGCTTCTGATGGGCATCGTGCCCACTCTTTCCGTACCGGTTTGGAGGAGGAGGAGGAGAAGGAGGAGGAGGAGGAGGAGGTGGAGGATACGTATGGTGGCGGTGGCGGAACAGTTGCCCATCCGCGCCCCTCGCCGGGCCTGCAATCCCGCCTCCGCGGGCGCGCGGCGTGCTTTGTCTGCGCGCCAAGCGTGGGGCCGCGCGGAGGCGTGGGAGGCGCGCGGCGCCGCGGGGCTCCGCCCGAGCCAGGGGGCGGACTCCACGAGCAAATGCGCACAAGCAAAGCCCAGAAATCTACGCAAATACAGCGGCGTGACGAAAGTTCTTTTGAAATTTGGAGGAGCCGTGGACGTGCCAAAATGGCATCAGCCACCCCCTGCCCCCCTTAGAATCCTAACAAGAAGAGGTTTTCGGGCCTCTGCCACGGGCGGGATAATTACTCCCTGGGGTCCTGGAGCTTGATAATAATATACTTTAGATCCCGGACCGAAGTTATCCCATTGTTTTTTACGTAAAAAATAATTATCCCGGCCTCTCCCAAATCCCGGCCGAATGATCCCATCGATTTTTTACATGGGAAACAATTATCCCGGGGTCGTCCCTACCCTACGGTCCTCATTCGGTGATTTCGGTTTTCTGCCTTTCAAGCGAAACTTGTGTCACGGCGAAATATACTTGAGGGGGGCCCAGGAACACACGAGCAAATGCACGCAAACATCAGAGGATCCCCCACCTGTTCTTCAAAGTTTTTTGATGTTCGTCTTCTCCCCCCCAACTTCCCCTTGTCTCACATATTTCAATGAAATTCGGCATTCAATTGTGTCTGTGTCTTTCTTCCCCTCTTGGCTACGGTAGGCTCGCGCGGCGTCGGCGCGCGCAAAATTTAAAATGCGGTTGACACCGCGTCGATCGTTCCACCTTGAACCGATCGCGGCCCCGATCGATCCAATTTGAAGCCCGTCTGGTTCTCTCGCGTTACAATGGCCTTCGGTGCTTCCGCGTCTCTCTGTCGTGCGGAGTCCAACCTTGAGCGCCTTCGCAGGCGTCGCAACGCGCGCCATAACCACCAAAGCACCCGCCGACCCGGAGTCCCACATGTAGAATCGGGGGGCGTCCTGATCCCATGCCTGTGTTTTATTGTTCCGGGGCGCCCCCCCACCAATAGTGGAGGGCAACTTGCGGCCGCCGGATTGGTCTGGGGCGGTTTGGCGAGCATTGCAAGACAACCACGACGCGCTGTGTCGACCCTAGGCTTCCCTGCCACTTCCCCGAGAGGGCTGCCAAAGTTTCCTCGCCAGCTCGGGAGGGAGGACGCAAGCAGGGCGGAACAACGCCACGGGAACAGGAACAGGAGGCAGAGGAAAAGGACGAAACGGGAAGGTACCCAGACCCCCTGGCGTCGTGAAACAAGTGTGACAGGCAGTTCCCTGCCCTGGGGGTATATGGGTTTCGGCCTCTGGTTTCTTGCTCGTGTTGAAAAGTTCTCTTTTGCACCAACATGTTAAACAACGTGGACCCCAAACAACGTGTTATCGTATATTATGTTGCGCTGGATCTGCATATGTAAACGTATGTGTATATATACATTTACACTATATATACATATGTTCAACAGCTCAACGGCGGTGAGGCGCGGAGCGCTCGGACTAGACAAAGAGGAGCGGTGCCAACACGCCGATCTTCTCACTCACTTCTCCTGGCCGACCTCGACAAGGCTCCGAGACACAACGAGTAGCAATTCATGCTCAGGAAACAAACTGTCGCGCCGGCACCACCGCGCTCTCCCAGGTAATAGAATGCAGGGAGGGAGGGCGGGGGACCAAAGAGACTATAGAGGCGCCCAATGATCCCCCTCGGATGATTGGCCTGAGACCGCCTCGCCGCATCTAAACAAAACAGTCAAAGACAAATTTGTTCAACAGCTCAACGGCGGTGAGGCGCGGAGCGCTCGGACTAGACAAAGAGGAGCGGTGCCAACATGCCGGTCTTCTCACGCACTTCTCCTGGCCGACCTCGACAAAGCTCCGAGACACAACAAGTCGCAACCCATGCTCAGGAAACAAGCCGTCGTGCCGCCACCACCGCGCTCTCCTGTAACTCCCCTTGTCCGATGGTCCTCAGGGTGGGTGGGTCGGGCACTATGATTCCATCACGCGAACATTCTGAAGAATACGTGGGAAACGTGAGAGAAGCCAATGCAAGCTCGCGTCGCCATCCACTTCTGAGATTGACTTCAGACGATCGAGCTGTTTGAGAAGTCTGCCTTTTCTCCCCGTGCCGCTTGCAGCTCGCCAGGCTTTTCCATCGTCCTCGCTTCAGGATCTGCACGATCGGGAGGTCGCCCAGGCCATCGGTGGAGGCACCCCCGTGCCACAGGCGGTGAAGGGCGAGCTGCAGGCTGCCGAACTTCAGCTCCTCCACCCTGCGATGGAAGATACGCTCGAAGCCCGCGAGCGCCAGGCCGGCGAACACCAGCTCTCCGTTGGCGGTCGTCCGGTGGAAGACCGAGAGCACCTCCGAGAGGAGCGGCCGCCTGATCTCCGAGGTCTCGCCGAGGATGACCGCGTCGTAAAGTCGCCGCTCTTGGTTGGGCGACCCTCCTCTTCCGGGCAGAACGCCGCCGCCCAGCAGCAGCGTCCTCCCTCGGCGCCCTGTGGCGAGATGAACTGGTCTCGGCCCAGCCCGAGGCCCTCCGAGGCCCGCAGGCACCCGTCGAACAGCACGAGCGTCAGCGCCGCTGAGCTCACCATGAACAGGCCGCGCCGCTCGCCCATCCAGCTGGCGAGGGCCAAGGCCGCCCCCCCCCAGGGGCAGCCATCCCGCGACCTGGTCTGCGAGGCTTTGCGGAAGCCACGCAGGGCACGTCGGGCCCGGGGGAAGTGCGGCGACTAGGCCCGGACCTCGTCGATGTGGAACATCAGCGCGTGGATGGCGTTGCTGGCGCGAGAGGAGGGCTCCCCGTCGAAGCAGAGCTTGTCGAGGTAGCCTTCGAGGGCCTTGTCGCGCGCCTCGGGGGTCTCGACCGCCAGGTGCTGCGCCTTCCACCGCGCCGTCAGGTCGTCGCACTCGCGCTGGTAGACACGCAGCGTCGCCGGGCCCACGGACCTCTGCTTCAGGTAGCTCTCCTGCCCGGGCGCGACGACTATCTTCCTGGCGACCGCCCGTCGGTGGGGGCTCCGACGCTGCCGAGCGTTGGCGGGCGGTCGGCCGTCAACGCCGCCCTGCGCCAGCAGCCCATGCGGTGGCCCCCCGCCACCCGAGAAGCTCGCCTGGCTCGCCAGCCGCCCAGCCCAGCGAGCGGAGGGCGAAGCGCCGTCGCTCCGCGCTGTCGCCACAGAGCCGGTGGCCGGCAGCGCGCCCCCATCCAATTGCAAACCGCCGCGGGCAGGAAGGGTCCGCGAGCGGCTCCGGCTGCGCGACCCGCGCGGCCGCGGCCAGTTCGCGCTCCCAGCGGGGGTCGAGCAACGGCTCGCCATCCCGCCGAAGCGCGCTCCGACCCAGGGCCCTCTTGAGCCCCTCCGCGGCGACGCGGCGCAGACCTGGCGGGTGAGCTGCGGCCAGGGAAGTCTTCTATTTCCAGACGTACCTGCCGGCCCCGTCCAGGACCTTCACTTTGCCCTCGAGGAGCTAGTGGGGGATCTTGCACGTACACTTTCTCTTAATGATTTTTAGCTCCGGGAGGTTGGGGACGAAGGCGGTGGGCTTCTTGTAGGGGGCCTCGTAGCGGCAACAGTGGTACTCAATGGACTCACACCTCATCTTGTTGAACATACTGGCGAACGGCGGGTACTTCAGGAGCCTCGAGGATGCAAGATTTTCAAGCGATACGAATGCCCCAGACTTGTGGCGCGCCTTGAGGACCTTCACCGTGAAGTCGACACACCCAAGACCTGCCCGAGAGCCCTCGGAGTCCTTGGACCCCGCGTCGTTCGCGACGCTCCAGCGCGCACAGGGAGGGGCGAGGTGGGCGTGACCAACATGCCCCCAGACAACCCACTGTATAATTCTTTGCTGCGCACCGACATCGAGGACATTGAATTGCAGCCCCGCTGACGAACCCACCCGGCGCAAGATGCGCAGTCCAGCCGCCCGGCGCGCGCCAGAGAGCCTTGAGCACCCGCTGAAGATCTCCAGCACGCCGCCGCGTCCAAGGCCGCCTCCTGCCCCGGGGGGCCTGGGGGCCGGGCACGCGGCCGCCGAGTCGGCGCCCGCGGCCGCCTCGCCAGCGGCGCCGCGGAGCCGACCCAGGCGCGCGGCAAGACGACCGCCGCGCAAGGCCTCGCCCGGCGCCAGCAGCCCTCGCTCCGCCAGCCGCGAGTCCGAGTCAGTGGGGTTGCGAGCCGTCTCGACGTAGCGCCGCGCCCACTTCACCTCGGCCCCCGGCTCGACCGCGGCGGCCCGCCGACAGATCACGCTCAGGGCGGGGCCGTGTGCCCGGCCCCGTTCTGTCGCCAAGACCCCCGAGAGATTGTCGCCGAGAGACAAGACCACGCCACCATGACTCGCGGAGTCCCGCGCAGCATGATACAGCCCTGTCAGCGCGATCCTCGCCTCCTCCACGTGGATCGCCTCGCGCCTCTGCCGGGCGCCCACCAGCGGCCCCTGCCAGCGCCCCGGCGCCGCCATGCTGTCAGGCAGCGCGGGGGCGATGCCAGTCACCCGGGGGCGCGGGGGCCCCGCCTCGACCGCCTTCATCGCCTCGACGGGCACCAGGTTGCTCGCCCGGGCCGCGCGCCGGGCAGGGCGATCGCCAGCGTTCGCGCCAAGCCAGCCGCTGTCCTCCACCTCTGGGTCGGCGCCTAGCTCGCGGAAGTCGGCGGCCAGCCCAGACTGGGCGCCAGCGAGACCCGGCCCCTCCTCCTCCCTGGCGTCGGCGAAGCGCCAGCGTTCCCGCCGCTGGCAGACGTCGTGCAGCTCGTGCTTCCCGAAGACCCCTGCGTGGATCGCATGGCCACCTGTCGAGGCGCCCGAGCAGAAGGCAGCGGTGTAGAAACGAAGTCGAAGCGGGCTCCGAACGAGAACAAGCAGGCGACGACGCGTGACCAACTCTCCACGCACATGGCTATCAAAACGGCGGAAGCGGCCCAGGTTCTCAGAGCTGAACACATACATCTTCGAGAGGGCAGGACACTGAGGGGCGGCCGCGCCTGCGTGAAAAAGTTCACCAGGTGACCCAGTACTATGCGCGTCACCTCGCCTGCGCAGCCGGGCAGTAACTCCAGCTGCCACAGCGCGTGCCACAGCCGCCAGAATCGACACCGCCGCTGTCGCCAGGAGAACTTAGCGCCCTGGAGCTCGAAGCCCACCATGTCCAGGTTCGGATCGCCCTCGACGTTGTCCCACAGGGTGTAGCCACGCCCGCTCAGCACGTTGACCATGGGCTCGTAGAAGATTCCAGCATCCTCGCGGTTGAAGCAGAGCAAGTTGTCGTTGTCAACTTAAGGCGCGGCGACGGGCTCGCCCTTGGCCAGCCGAGGCGCAGGTCGCCCATCACGGAGCAGCTGAGCCGCCGCCAGCGCCCAGTCGCAACGCAGCACGCGGACGAGCGACTCCACCATCGCGTCAGCGAGCGCGGAGTGGCAGATAAACAGGGCCCACGTTCACCCCGTGGGCGCGCCGCAGAGGCAGGGCCACGCAGCATCCTCCGCCGCGACTGGCGCCCAGATGCCCTTCCCGTCGACGACGTCGAACACCTCGGAGATGCCCGCCTCCGCCGCGGTCACGCGGCAGTCGACGCCGAATCAATCGCTCGTCACTTTGAAGCAAGGCTGGTAGAAGCCGTCCTGGAGGTCGACCGCGGCGCCGCGCAACTCCAGCAGGAGCAGCTCCTGGTTCCAAGGCTCGTCGCCGAGATGCAGAGCGGACGCGGCGCCAGGCGTCGCCAGGTAGGAGTGCGGCGGCCGCCTGTGCCAGTGGTTGGGAACGCGGGCGTCCACGATGAGCCTCTGTCACCAACCGTCCTTTTCGATGACCGCGAAGAGGCCGATGAAGGCCTTCGCCGAACGCCTGAACACCGCGAGGTTGCCGCGGTACAGCGTCGTGACCAGCTCCTTCAGCAGCCTCCGGCTCTGTCGCAGTCGCGGGTCGGCGCAGGGCCGCGGCGGGGGCCCGCCCGCCCCCGCTCGCTCGGGGCGTCGTTCAATGCGCCGCCAAGGATCAGCCCGAAGTCGGTGGGCGTCAGCGCCAGCGACGCCCAATACCTCCTTAGGGGCTGTGTCGTTCTTCAATATCTTGAGCCGCTCCAGCTGGATCGGGACCCGGCTGGTAGCGTCGCTCGTCGGGCGCATGTCAGTGCACTTCAAGGGCTCCGGGAGCGCGTTCGAAAGGTCTTCCTCTGGAGGGGGGGGACGCTGGTCGTCTACCCGCCCCGCGACGCGGTCCAAGATCGACTGCTGAGCCGACGCGACCACTTGCTTGGTGGGCCTCGGCCGCCGCAGCTGCAGCGGCCGACCGACGCGAGAGGCAGACATGCTGTTCAGGGCCGTGGCCGCGTCCGCGGCCAGCGCAGCCGCCGACGGCAAGTCACCAGCTCGAGTCGGGAGGCGGAAGGAAACCGCCCGATCACCACCGCCTCCGACGCCGTCGAACGCGCGCAGCGGCAAGGGGAACGAGTCGCAGTGCGACGTCAAAACTTCGCGGTTCAGCGAGGCCGAGGGCCTCGAGGTCGGGGGCGCGGCCGCGGTGCTCAGGGCCCGCGATGCCGATGGGGCGCCCCCCAGTCCCTTTCATCCTTGCCCGACTTGCCGCTGCCGAGGATGCGGCCAGCCTTCCTCTTTTTCTCGTTCCCCTGCTCCTCGAGGTCCTGTCTAGGGCTCTTGAGCACCGTCCCGCTCGTCTTCTGCTGCTCCGCCATGTACTTGTCGAACTCCGTGACCCGAAGCCCGCCCGACTCGTCGAAGTTCGACTGGGCGACCTTCTCCAGCCCTGTGAAGTCCGGCGCCTTCGGGTTCCTCCGCGCCGCACGCTGGCGCACGATGACGCGGCGGCATCTCAGCTCCGCCGACGCTAAGGCCTGCAGGTTCAGCTGGTCGTAGGACTGCATTATCCGCAAGTAGTCGAAACCGAGCCTGACCTCCCTCGCGACGCTGCCCTGCGACTTCACCCCGCCCCTGCTCTCCCACCACGTCGGGTAGAGGTGCAGCTCGAGCCCTGCCGCCGCCACGTCCGTGATGAGCTCCCGCGCGGCCGAGGGCCCCTCGAACGGCCAGTCGGCGAACTTCGGATCGGTGGCGAGGTTCGTCGTCTCCCGAAACAACATCATCTGTTTGCCTCCTGCATCGCGATGCACCGGCAATGTGCGGAGGTCTCGTCCTGGACCGCTCCGCTTGCGCTCCAACCAGTCATCCAGCTCGCGGTCCTTCACCCTCTAAACCGGGACCCACTCGCCAGCCGCTTCGTCGATGTGGTAGAGCCCGATCTCGCCCCTCACCACAGCACGGTCGCCGATCATGCTCCCGTCGGCGATCACCTCGTTGAACCGCTCCCGCCCCGTGTCTGACACGCGCCCATGCCAGTCCGCCGCCGCCCCGACCGCCTCCAGCAGCAGGCTGGTGCCCAAGCACCCGCGCCAGCTGCCCGTCCCGCAGGAAGAGGTCATCCCGCCGGTCGAGCGTGAGCGGGTCGAAACAGCACACGTCCCCGCGCACCTGCGCAGGCCACGGCGCCGAGCGCGCCAGAGGCAGCACGCGGTGGCCGGTCAGGTCCAGGACCTGGACCGAAAAGCCGGGCGTGGCGCACACCCAGCGCCCAGGGCCGAGCTCGTGCAGCAGCAGCCGGCGGTGCCATGTGGGATTCGGATCCTCCGGGTAGTCGACCAGGACCTGAATGATGTCCGTATCAAGCGCGGTTGCCATCACGCAAACGACGGAGCGTCGTGGGCGTCACGCCCGCGCTGTCCACCACGGGCTGCTCCGCAGCCGGGGCGGCCACGGGCGTCCTCGCGCGGCCAGCCAGAGCCGCCTGCAGTCCCAGCGTGCAGGCCGCGCCCAGCAGCAGCCCCAGCCCTGCGGCGACCAGCAAGCCACAGGCCGACGGCCCGCACTGAGGCGCGCGCGGGCAATGCAAGTGGTCAGGCCCGCAACGATCCAGCTGCACCCGCAGGATGGCCAGCAGCCCCTCGTCCAGAGGGCTCGAGTCGAAGTGGCAGGCGCAGCTGTTTGAGCCACTCGACGCGAGCCGCCCTATCGCCGCGCCGAGCTCCGCCGGCGCCAGCCCCCCCAGCTGATCTGCAGCCCGCTGCATCAGCGGGCTTGGACCACAGAGACTATAGAGGCGCCCAATGATCCCCCTCGGATGATTGGCCTGAGACCGCCTCGCCGCATCTAAACACAATCAGACATATATATATATATATATATGTGTGTGTATGTATGTATGAGTGTATGTGTATATGTATATATACATACATATATATATACATACATACATACATACATACATACATACATACATACATACATACAACCATACATACATACAACATACATACATACAAATGTGCGCTAGCGGAAGCCGACGGAAACACAACGAGGCGGAAGACGGCGGACGGCCGTTGGAAGGCTTGCGGGCGACAGCGCAAATAAATGACGCCATATCCAGGCCCGCCTGCCCCCCCGTAGAAGCCTAGAAATGTTGTGTTCTGCCGTGGGCCGGGCGGGATCCCGCCGAACTTATTCCTACTTAGCATTACACTTGTAGTTCAGCGATACTGAAGACCCACCCATTTAAGAACAGGGTGAACAAATATACCAGTTCGTTCACGGATCTCGCCATGCTGGAATCGGTTCGAGGTAACTGGGGCTCCGAAGTTGCAGCGTTCCTGGCATGTCAGGGTAGTCTTGAGATCGTTTTGAAGTCATACCTCGGTCATGCTTGAATCGCGCAGCCGTCGCGTGTCCGTTCTGGGGCCACCGTGGGCGCGCGTGGACCCATATGGTTGCCAACGGGCCATATCGGCGTCACTCGTGGTTCATGTGCTCAATTATCTTCGAATCAGCCTGACACGTTCCAGAATCCATGGCGGGATCGAACTGGGGTGGATTCGTCCCACGGTCGTCTGGACGTGACCGCCTGTGGCCTCAAGCCCTCTCGGAACCATTTGGTGGCCATGGGGGTGTCTTGCGATCTCGCGCCCGCGAGCGCTGAGCACGCGCGCGCGACAACTCATGTCGCCGATGGGCGTGTATACAGCTACTTGTTGTTGCGAATTTCCCAGGAAGCTTTTGTTGGAGCCAAGTACGTAGTGCAATTCACCCTGCCGAACTTGAGCGTGTCAACTCCACTGCTCGTGCAATCATCCAACCCACCCACCCGCGACTTGGTTTGCAACACCCATGCGGCGGCGATTGCGGTGACTGCTCGGCGCTGGCGCATCGCCGCGGTCGCGCTAGCGCGCATGCTCGCGCGCAAATCGGCCAGCTAATTTGGCGCGACCGACGCGGCCGCGGTGGCGCTGACAGCTGGGCACTTCCCAACGGGCACTTCAGTGCGAGTCGGCAGCTTTGGCGGGCGCGGTATCATGGCAACGCCGACAACGGGACACGATGATGGTAGTAGCGATGCTCGTGACGATGATGGCAGCCACGACAGCAAGGCCAGTGACGGCACCAATGCTGATCACGCAGGGTCTAGCAACACCCGGCCGTCCGCCGCCGGCAGCTGCCAGGGGCGAAAGACCGGCGTGGAGGGCATGCTGTCGTGCGAGGATGCAGCACGCTCACCGGCATCGGGGTCTCTCCGCCGCGGCCGCGAACAATTTTGCCCGGCTGCCGACCCCCGAACCACACTGGGGTTTTCATCCACCCCGAATACATGGGGGAAATCCACCAAAGTACCGATATCGCTGCAGTCGGACCTAGGCCAGAAGAACATCCCTCAAGAACGTGAGACCCTCCGTCGGCCGAAACACCCCAAACCCTGAGATCATTCGAGGGTGCACGCCCCCAAGATGCACAAGAACATCCAACAGACAGGAAGAACATGAGGGTACCCTCCTCGACCCGACCTCGATCTTACACCTCGGTGCGACTGTACTCCGCGGACCTCTCCCGGGGTGCGTTCTGACCAGAATTTCGACGCGAATCCAACGGTTTCGGCGAGGGCCTCCGAGGAGGCCCAACAAAAGACAGAGAACGGCGCGAGGGTTGCGGTATGGTACCTCTTCCTCCTCCCACCTCTCCCGACCCCGACCCGCGGAGCCGCTGTTCCTTCTCCTCCAGCTGCCCCCTCGTCGCAGCGCTCTCGTCGCGCATCTGCGGGTGCTCGCGCTCGAAGTCGCGCAGCGCCTCTTCTCCGCGGGCGGGGCGGGAGGCGGCCGCGGGGAGCCCAAGCATGGCGAGCGGGCCCCTCGCCGGGCACCAGGACTGTCAGAACACGACTCGTGAGGAGAAACCGGCTCTGGAGAGAGAGAGAGAGAGAGAGAGAGAGAGAGAGAGTCAGGACGTCCGGGGACCCCGTGCAGTGAGAGATTGGAGCACCCGCTGAGGCTTGGCCATGGAATACATCGCCGCCCTGATTAGATCCATGACCTCGCCGCGAGGCACGAGTTGGAGTGTCCTCAGATCCCCTGGATTTCTCTGTCCTCAATTCTGGGGGATCATAAGGAGCCCAGACCCCAAATCCACAGTTTCTGTGGGCCCCCGTCGCAGCTTGTCGCGTGATTTTTTCGAAGCCAAGAGGGCCTCAAGACGGGCCAAGAAGGCCCCACGATGCTCCCAAGATGCTCCAAGACGGCCTCGACTCGCCGCGTGATCGGTCCAAGTTTCCCAAGATGGCCCCAAGACGTTTCAGAGACGCCCCAAGAGCCTTCCTTGAAAGGTCCAAGAGGCCAAAATCATTTGATTACCACTAGTTTGTCAATGTCTGGGGGTTCTCGCCTTTTCGAGCTTCTGACGCTCCAAGATGGCCCAAGAGGACCCCCGAGACTGCCCCACGCCGGCCCAAGAGGCTCCAAAAGGGCCCGAAGACGGCCCAAGAGGCCCCCAAGACGACCGAAGAGGCGCCCAACACGGCCCAAGAGGAGCCTAAGAGGGGGACACGCAAACCGAACATCCGAGCCTTCCGCCCTGAGAGGCGCCCAGGAGGCCCCAAGAGGGCCGCCCAGAAGCCCCAAGAGACACCAAGAGGCCCCCAAGAGACACCAAGAGGCCCAAGAGGCCACGAGAGGCCCCAACACAGCCTCATAGCCTCATGGAGGCATCCAAACTGCCGCCAGGAGGCCCATGCAAGAGGCCTCAGACCCATAATAACCCAGGCACGGTGGCGGGATGGGCCGAAGGCGTCTTCGATCCGCCGCCCCCTTTTGCTTTAGCAAAAGGGTGCCTGGCGTGCCAAATGATATGGGTTTTGGTTTTGGTTCTTTTTCCAAAAGAACTCCCCCTGGGGCTTCGGCCCGTCCCGCCGGCCACCCGGAAGGATTGCCCAGAGGTGGTTGCAAAGGGTTCTTCCGTTCCAGACGGCTCCAAGATGGCCTAAGATGGCCTCCAAGACGGCCAAGATGGCCTCCAAGACGGTCCCGATGGCCCCAAGATGCCTCGGAGATGGCCCAAGATGCACCCAAGACTGCCCAAGATGGCCTCAAGATGGCCCAAAACGGCCCAAGATGCTCCCAAGAGGCCTCTAAGACGGCCCAAGAGGCCTCCAAGAGGTCCTCCAGGAAGGCCCGAAGAGGCCAAAATTATTGATTGTCCTTAGGTTTTTGAAGGATTTAAATATTTGCGCATTTTCGGTTTTCCGACGGCCCAAGACGGCCCAAGAGGCCCCCAAGATCGCCCAAGAAGCCCCCAAGAGGGCCCCATGACTGCCCAATTGGCCTCCAAAACGGCCCCACGAGGGCCCCAAGACGGCCCAAGAGGCCTCCAACACGCCCAAGATGGCCTCCAAGACGCCCAAGATGGCCTCCAAGACTGCCCCGAAGCGCCCCAAGAGGGCCCCAAGTCGGCCCAGAAAGGCCCCCAAGACGGCTCCCGACGGCGTCAGACGTGCCAGGTTGGCTCGAAGCTGGCCCAAGACGGCCCAAGAGGCTCCCAAGAGGGCCTCCAGGAAGGTCAGAAGAGGCCAAAAACATTGATGTTCTTAAGGTTTTTGACGGATTTTGACATTTGCTTCTTTTCGGCCTTCTGACGGCCCGAGACGGCCCAAGAGCACCCAAAGATCGCCGAAAGGTCGCCCAAGAGGCCTCCAAGATGGCCCCAGAACGGCCCAAGAGGGCCCCAAGACGGCCCCAAGAGGCCCCCAAGACGGCACAGGAGGCCTTTAAGACGCCCAAGATGGCCTCCAAGAGGGCCCTGGAGCATTCCAAGAGGGCCCCAATAGAGGCCCCCCAAACGGCTTCCGACGGCGTCAGACGGACCAGGAGCCCACCAAGACGGCCGAACATGGCCCTCAGATGGCCCAAGACGACCCAAGAGGCCTCCAAGAGGGCCTCCAGGAAGGCCCCCAAAGGCGAAAATTGTAAAGGATTGTGGCATGTGTTTTTGTTTCTGCCTTCCGACGGCCCGAGACGGCCCAAATGCCCCCAAAGATCGCCCAAGAGGCCCATGACACGGCCCCAAGAGGCCCCAAGACGGCCCAAGAGGTCTCCAAGACGCTCAAGATGGCCTCCAGACGGCCGAAGAGCCCTTCAAGACGTCCTCCAAGAAGGCCCGAAAGGGTCCAAATGGCCTCCAGACGGCCAAGATGACCTTCAAGATGCCCACGTGTTCCCCGAAGGCTTTCCAAACCGATTTGGGGAACACATGGTCCAATAGCTTGGCAGGTATGGCCTCAACGTTCGGCCACATAGGCGCTTCCAAAAAGGCAGGGGGCGGCGGTGATTCGCCGTAGGCGTCTTCGATCCGCCGCCCCTTTTTGCTTTAGCAAAGGGGTGCCTGGCGTGCCAAACTATATGGGTTCTGGTTTTGGTTCTTTTTTCAAAAGAACTCCTCTGAAGCTTCGGCCCGTCCCGCCGGCCACCCGGAAGGATTGCCCAGAGGTGGTTGCAAAGGGTTCTTCCGTTCCAGACGGCTCCAAGATGGCCTAAGATGGCCTCCAAGACGGCCAAGATGGCCTCCAAGACGGCCCCGATGGCCCCAAGATGCCTCCAAGATGGCCCAAGATGCACCCAAGACTGCCTAAGATAGCCTCAAGATAGCCCAAAACGGCCTAACAGGCTGCCAAGAGGCCTCCAAGACCGCCCAAGAGGCCTCTAAGAGGTCCTCCAGGAAGGCCCGGAGAGGCCAAAAGTATTGATCATCATTAGGTTTTGAGAGATTTTGGCATTTGCGCCTTTTCGCCCATCCGACGGCCCCAGAGGCCCCAAAGGTCGCCGCAAGATCGCCCAAGAGGCCCCCAAGAGGGCCCCGTGACGGCCCAAGTGGCCTCCAAGACGGCCCCAAGAGGGCCCCAAGACGGCCCAAGAGGCCTCCAACACGCCCAAGATGGCCTCCAAGACGCCCAATGTGGCCTCCAAGACGGCCCCGAAGCGCTCCAAGAGGGCCCCAAGTCGGCCCAGAAAGGCCCCCAAGACGGCTCCCGACGGCGTCAGACGTGCCAGGTTGACTCGAAGCTGGCCCAAGGCGGCCCAAGAGGCCCCCAAGAGGGCCCCCAGGAAGGCCCGAAGAGGCCAAAGGTTTTTGACTGATTGTTGCATTTGCGCCTTTTCGGCCTTCCGACGGCCCGATACGGCCCAAGAGCCCCCAACGATCGCCGAAAGGTCATCAAACGGGCCTCCAAGATGGCCCCAGAACGGCCCGAAGGGGCCCCAAGACGGCCCCAAGAAGCCCCCAAGACGGCACAGGAGGCCTTTAAGACGCCGAAGATGGCCTCCAAGAGGGCCCTGGAGCATTCCAAGAGGGCCCCAAGTCGGCCAATGGAGGCCCCCCAAACGGCTTCCGATGGCGTTAGACGGACCAGGAGCCCACCAAGACGGCCGAACATGGCCCTCAGATGGCCCAAGACGACCCAAGAGGCCTCCAAGAGGGCCTCCAGGAAGGCCCGAAAAGGCCAAAATCATTGATTTCCCAAAAAGGTTTTTGAAGGATTGTGGCATTTGCATTTTTTCTGCCTTCCGACGGCCCGAGACGGCCCAAATGCCCCCAAAGATCGCCCAAGAGGCCCATGACACGGCCCCAAGAGGCCCCCAAGATGGCCTAAAAGGTCTCCAAGACGCTCAAGATGGCCTCCAAGACGGCCCAAGAGCCCTCCAAGACGCCCTCCGAGAAGGCCCGAAAGGGTCCAAATGGCCTCCAGACGGCCAAGATGACCTTCAAGATGCCCACGTGTTCCCCGAAGGCTTTCCAAACACATGGTCCGATAGCTGGGCAGGTCTGGCCTCAACGTTCGGCCACATAGGCGCTTCCAAAAAGGCAGGTGGCGGCGTTGATTCGCCGTAGGCGTCTTCGATCCGCTGCCCCCTGTCGATTCATCGCAGGCGTGCCTGGCGTGCTAGACCCTCTCGGTTTTGGTTTTGGTTTTTTCTTCAAAAGAACTCCCCCTGGGGCTCCGGCGCGTCCCGCCGGCCACCCGGAAGACCCGGTTACAAACGCCAAAAACGGCCGTTTCGCTCGGGACATCCTCAAACAATCGCGAAGGTGGCCCAAGATGGCCTGCAAGATGCATCCAAGACAGCCAAGATGGCCTCCAAGACGGCTAAGACGGCCCCAAGATGCATCCAAGACGGCCCAAGAAGGCCCCAATATGAGCTAAAACGGCCCAAAAGACCCGCAAGACGGCCCAAGAGGCCTCCAAGAGTTCCTCCAGGAAGGCCCGCAGAGGCCAAAATCCTTAATTTTTCTATGGTTTTTGAAGGATTTTAGCATTTGCGCCTTTTCGGCTTTCCGACGGCCCGAGACGGCCCCAGAGGCCGCCAAGATCGCCCCGAGATCGCCCAAGAGGCCCCCAAGAGGGCCCCATGACGGCCCAAGAGGCCCCCAAGACGGCCCCAAGAGGGCGCCAAGACGGCCCAAGAGGCCTCGAAGACGCCCAAGATGGCCTCTAAGACGGCCCTGGAGCACCCCACGAGGGCCCCAAGTCGGCCCAGAAAGGCCACCGAAACGGCGTCCGACAGCGTCAGACGGGCCAGGAGCCCACCAAGATGGCCGAAGGTGGCTCGCAGCTGGCCCAAGGCGGCCCAAGAGGCGTCCAAGAGGGCCTCCAGGAAGGCCAGAAAAGGCCAAAGAGAGTGATTTTCCTAAGGTTTTTGAAGGATTTGACATTTGCTTCGTTTCGGCCTTCCGACGGCCTGAAGATCGCCCAAGGATCGCCCAAGAGGCCTCCAAGATGGCCCCAGAACGGCCCAAGAGGCGCCCAAGACAGCCCCAAGAGGCCCTCAAGACGGCCCAAGAGGCCTCCAAGACGCTCAAGATGGCCTCCAAGACGGCCCAAGAGCTCTCGAAGACGTCCTCCAAGAAGGCCCGAAAGAGTTAAATGGCCTCCAGACGGCCAAGATGACCTTCAAGATGCCCACGTGTTCCCCGAAGGCTTTCCAAACCGATTCGTGGAACACATGGTCCGATAGCTTGGCAGGTATGGCCTCAACGTTCGGCCACATAGGCGCTTCCACAAAGGCAGGGGGCGGTGGTGATTCGCCGTAGGCGTCTTCGATCCGCCGCCCCCTTTGATTTATCAACGGGGTGCCTGGCGATCTGGACCATCTCGGTTTGGGTTTTGGATTTTTTCCCAAAAGAAGTCCCCCTGGGCTTCGGCCCGTCCCGCCGGCCACCCGAAGACCCGGTTGCCAATGGTTTTCCTGCCCCAGACGGCCCCAAGATGGCCTCCAAGACGGCCGAGATGCCTCCAAGACGGCCAAGATGGCCTCCAAGACGGCTAAGATGGCCCCAAGATGCCTCCAAGACGGCCCAAGATGTACCCTAGACGGCCTAAGATAGCCTGAAGATGGCCCAAGACGGCCCACGAGGCCCCCAAGAGGCCTCCAAGACGGCCCAAGAGGCCTCCAAAAGGTCCTCCAGGAAGGCCCGCAGAGGCTAAAATCATTGATGTTCTGTTGGTTGTTGAATGATTTTGGCATTTGCGCCTTTTCGGCTTTCCTACGGCCCCAGACGGCCCAAGAGACCCCCAAGATCGCCCAAGAGGCCTCCAAGACGGCCCCGTGACGTTCCCAGAGGCTCCCAAGGCGGCCCCAAGAAGGCCCCAAGAGGCCTCCAAGACGGCCAAGATGGCCTCCAAAACGTTCAAGATGGCCTCCAAGATGGTCCAAGAGGCCTCCAAGTCCGCCCCAGAAAGGAGGAGATGCCTCCAAGTCCGCCCAAGAAACCTCCAAGACGGCCCAAGATGGCCCAAGAGGTGCCCTAGAGGCCTCCAAGACGGCCCAGAAGGCCTCCGAGAGGTCCTCCAGGAGGGCCCGAAGAGGCCCAAATCATTGATTTTCCTTAAGTTGTTGTTAAGGATTTTCGTATTTGCTCCCTTTCGGCTTTCCGACGGCCCGTGACGGCCCAAGAGGCCCCCAAGACCGCCCCCACAGCGCCCAAGAGGCCTCCAAGATGGCCTCAGGACTGCCCAAGAGGCCCCCAGGACGGCCCCAAGAGGGGACAAAGACGACCCAAGAAGCCTCCAAGACGCCCAAGATGGCCTCGAAGACGGCCCCGGAGCACCCTAAGAGGGTCCGACGGCGTCAGACGGGCCAGGAGCCCACCAAGATGGCCGAAGCTGGCTCGAAGCTGGCCCAAGAAAGCCCAAGAGGCCTCCAAGAGGGCCTCCAGGAAGGCTAGAAAAAAAGGCCCACAGCACTGATGTCCCGTAGGTTTTTGACGGATTTTGACATGTACTTCTTGTCGGCCTTCCGACGGCCCGAGACGGCCCAAGAGCCCCCAAAGATCGCCCAAGAGGCCTCCAAGATGACCCCAGAACGGCCGAAGAGGCCCCCAAGACGGCCCAAAGAGGCCCCCAAGACGGCCCAGGAGGCTTTTAAGACGCCCGAGATGGCCTCCAAGACGGCCCTGGAGCTTTCCAAGAGGGCCCCAAGTCGGCTCATTGAGGCGCCCCAAACGGCTTCCGACGGCGTCGAACGGGCCAGGGGCCTACCAAGACGGCCGAAGATGGTACTAAGACGGCCCAAGACGGCCCAAGAGGGGCCTCCAGGAAGGCCCGAAAGGGCCAAAATCATTGATTCTCCATAGGTTTTAAAGGATTGTGACATTTACTTGTCTTCGGCCTTCTGAGGGCCCGAGACGGCCCAAGTGCCCCCAAAGATCGCCCAAGAGGCCCATGACACGGCCCCAGGAGGCCCCCAAGACGGCCCAAGAAGCCTCCAAGACGCTCAAGATGGCCTCCAAGACGGCCCAAGAGCTCTCGAAGACGTCCTCCAAGAAGGCCCGAAAGAGTCAAATGGCCTCCAGACGGCCAAGATGACCTTCAAGATGCCCACGTGTTCCCCGAAGGCTTTCCAAACCGATTCGTGGAACACATGGTCCGATAGCTTGGCAGGTATGGCCTCAACGTTCGGCCACATAGGCGCTTCCACAAAGGCAGGGGGCGGCGGTGCTTCGCCGTAGGCGTCTTCGATCCGCCGCCCCCTGTCGATTCATCGCAGTGGTGCCTGGCGTGCTAGACCCTCTCGGTTTTGGTTCCGGCTCTATTCCCAAAGGAACTCCTCCTGGGCCTTCGGCGCGTCCCGCTGGGGTCCTGGGAGGCTCTGCCGGAGGTGGTTGCCGGGGGTTTTCCTGCCCCAGACGGCCCCAAGATGGCCCAAGATGGCTTCCAAGATGCTTCCAAGACGGCCAAGATGGCCTCCAAGACGGCTAAGATGGCCCCAAGATGCCTCCAAGACGGCCCAAGATGCACCCAATACGGCCTGAGATGGCCTCAAGCTGGCCCAAGACGGCCCAAGAGGCCCCGAAGAGGCCTCCAAGACGGCCAACGAGGCCTCCAAGAGGTCCTCCAGGAAGGCCCGAAGAGGCAACAATCATTGACTTTCCTTAGGTTTTTGACGCATTTGGGCATTTGCGCCTTTTCGGCCCTCCGACGGCCCGATACGGCCCAAGAGCCCCCAAAGATCGCCGAAAGGTCGCCAAAAGGGCCTCCAAGATGGCCCTATGACGGCCCAAGAGGCCCCCAAGACGGCCCCAAGAGGGCCCCAAGACAGGCCAATAGGCCTCCAAGACGCCCAAGATGGCCTCTAAGACGGCCCCGAAGAGCCCCAAGAGGGCCCCAAGTCGGCCCAGAGAGGCCCCCAAGACGGCACTCGACGGCGTCAGACGTGCCAGGAACCCAACAAGATGGCCGAAGTTGGCTCGAAGCTGGCCCAAGACGGCCCAAGAGGCCTCCAGGAAGGCCAGACAAAAAAAACACGTACGATTCTCAGATGTTCAAGGATTTTGACATTTCCTCCTTTTCGGCCTTCCGACGGCCCGAGGCGGCCCACGAGCCCCCGAAGATTGCCCAAAGATCGCCCAAGAGGCCTCCAAGATGGCCCCAGAACGGCCCAAGAGGCCCCAAGACGGCCCCAAGAGGCCCCCAAGATGGCACAGGAGGCCATCAAGACGCCCAAGATGGCCTCCAAGACGGCCCTGGAGCATTCCAAGAGGGCCCCAAGTCGGCCCATAGAGGCCCCCCAAACGGCTTCCGACGGCGTCAGACGGGCCAGGAGCCCACCAAGACGGCCGAACATGGCCTTAAGATGGCCCAAGACGGCCCAAGAGGCCTCCAAGAGGCCTCCAGGAAGGCCAGAAAAAAACACGTATGATTCTCAGGTTTTCAAGGATTTTGACATTTGCTTCTTTTCGGCCTTCCGACGGCCCGAGACGGCCCAAGAGCCCTCGAAGATTGCCCAAAGATCGCCCAAGAGGCCTCCAAGATGGCCCCAGAACGGCCCAAGAGGCCCCAAGACGGCCCCAAGAGGCCCCCAAGATGGCACAGGAGGCCTTCAAGACGCCCAAGATGGCCTCCAAGACGGCCCTGGAGCATTCCAAGAGGGCCCCAAGTCGGCCCATAGAGGCCCCCCAAACGGCTTCCGACGGCTTCAGACGGGCCAGGAGCCCACCAAGACGGCCGAACATGGCCTTAAGATGGCCCAAGACGGCCCAAGAGGCCTCCAAGAGGCCTCCAGGAAGGCCCGAAAGGGCCAAAATCACAGCTTCCCCATGAGGTCTTAAAGGATTGTGGCATTTGCTTTGTGTCGGCCTTCCGACGGCCCGAGACGGCCCAAGTGCCCCCAAAGATCGCCCAAGAGGCCTCCAAGATGGCCCTCAAGACGGCCCAAGAAGCCTCCAAGACGCTCAAGATGGCCTCCCAGACGGCCCAAGAGCCCTTCAAGACGTCCTCCAAGAAGGCCCGAAGGGGTCAAAATGGCCTCCGGACGGCCCAGATGACCTTCCAGATGCCCACGTGTTCCCCGAAAGGATTCCAAACCGATTCGGGGAACACATGGTCCGATAGCTTGGCAGGTCTGGCCTCAACGTTCGGCCACATAGGCGCTTCCAAAAAGGCAGGGGGCGGCGGTGATTTGCCGTAGGCGTCTTCGATAGGGAACCCTTTCAGGGCCTGAAGCTTCCTGGGCACATTCCTTAACGAACGCCCCCACCGCATTGGAAAACAAAAAACCTCGGATGCTGATACCGCTGCTCCATGGGCCCCTCTCTCTCGAGGCGCGCTCCTGGCAACAACCTCGGAGAAGATCCAGCCGTGGTGCACCGAGGGCTCTCCATGACGAGCGGCGGTGCCTGCAGCCTTTGCTCGTCCGTCTCCCCAGACCTCCTCCGATGCAGGCAGGTAGCCTCCTAAGGCCCAGGGGAAGAAAAGAGGTGGAGGAAGGGGGGGAAAAGAAGAGAGGAGGAAGGAGGAGGAGAAGGGAAGAGGAAGGAGGAGGAGGAGGAGGAGGCGGAGGGAAGGGGGAGGAGGGAGGAGGAGAGAGGGGAAGGAGAAGTTGGACGCCTCCGATGCTCGAGCCCCCGACGTCAGGATTTGTCATAACGTCGACCTCCAGAGGTCTCGACCCCTTCCCCAAGAGCGGCTTTGTATCATCCTGGGTCGTTTCGTTGAAGGTCCCGGGGCCCATCGAGGGTCCCTAAGGCGGCCAGAAGCAACGAACACCCTCCACCTCGATTTTCTCCCTGCGTTGGAGGTCTGGGTCTGACCTTGCCCCACGACGATGACGACGCGGGCGAGGACGACGACAACGGCGGCGGCGGCGGCGGCCGCATCGATCGCGACAGCGACGCCGATGGCACCATCGGCTACGCGACGGCGACGGCTACGCGGCGAGGTTGGCAACGTTAGCGGCGGGCGGCCAGCGGCTGGCGGCACCGCCCGGCCGAGAGGGGCAGGCGGCACGGCGTCCTGCAGCTGCGCCTGCGCCCTCTGCAGCTCCTCGGACTGCTCCGCCGCCTCGGTGGAGGCGCCAGGCGCTCCCGCCCCGTGCTCGTCCCCAGACATAATTACGCCCGCGCTGTGAGACGTGCTCGCGTGCCGCAAAACAGGCAGGACGGGATATGTTTGGCCACTTTGTGTGTATTCATGTGTGTGTGAGTGTGTGTGTATGTATATGTGAGTGTGTGTTTTTCCCTGGAGGAGGAGGAGGAGGAGGAGGAGGAGGAGGAGGAGGAGGAGGAGGAGGAGGAGGAGGAGGAGGAGGAGGTGGGGTGGCGCCTCCAAGGGGTCGCGGGGGGGGGGCTCTCGCCGGGCCCAGGGACCGTCCAGAAACGACGCGGTATGGAAAGCCGGCCCTGGGACCTCCGAGGGCCCCGTCGCCTTGGACAAAGATCCGGGCACCGCAGGTCTGAGCGAGCGAGCGCGCGCTCTCTCTTGGGGCGCTGGGCAAGGGAGGGGGGGAGTTCGAACCCGAGGGGGCCCTCCGCTCCTGCATGGCAGGGGGGGAGGGGTTCGAACCGGCGGGGCCCTCAAGGGTGGGGGGGGGGTCCAACGGGTACCCCCCGCCCCCTTCGCCAGCGCTGGCGCCGTCGGGCAGCGATGACGACGACGACGACGACGATGACCGAGCCCGAGTCAGGATTCTCGATGAGAACAGGATCGAGCCCAAGTATGATGCTAGCAGAGCTGGATCGATCCCGGCTAAGATTCAATCTGAATTGGAGCCAGCTCTGATTGGATGCTACAAAGGCTGGGTCGATCCCCGCTAGGATTCGATTGGAGCCCCCGTAGGATTCAATCAGAGCTGGACCGAACCCTACTAGGATGCAACTACAGCTGGGTCGAGTCCCAGTACTAGAACTGGATTGAGCCCGAATGGAATTCTGTTAGGGTTGGAACGAGCCCTACTAGGACGCTTTTAAAGTTGGACCGAGGCCTAGTAGGATTGCATGAGAATTGGGCCGAGCCCTACTGGGATTAAGGTAGTTAAGGTAGAGCTGGATCGAGCCTTAGTAGGATTCTGCCCGAGCTTGATCGAACAAGATTCGGATTCTATTAGGGGGGAAGGAGGGGGGCCCATTTCGACCCCCCCACCCCTGGAATAAGGGCCGGCCACCCCCCCTCAGCTGGTTCGAACCCCCCCTCCCCCTTGGAGGGGGGGTTCGAACCGGTGTCATCCCAGACCGGTGTCCGGAGGGGGGTCCCAGGCGCGCCATCATTTCTTTTTGGGGGGAGTGGTTTCGACATGTCAAGGGATCTTGTTCGAAACAAGCGTCCGCGAAGCGCGTTCTCTCTCACGTCTGGATCGTCGGCCGTCGCTCGTCGTCCGTCCGTCCGTCCGTTCTCGTCCTCCTCGTCCTCGTCCTCGTCCCGCCGCCGCCGCCGTCGTCGTCGTCGTCGTCGCCGTCGTCGTCGTCGTCGCGGTCGTCGCACTCGTCGTGGTCGTCGTCGTCGTCGTCGTCGTCGACGTCGCAGTGGTCGTCGTCTCCGTCGTCGTCGTCTCCGTCTCCGTCGTCGTCGTCGTCGTCGTCGTCGTCGTCGTCGTCGTCGTCGTCGTCGTCGTCGTGGTCGTGGTCGTGGTCACCGTCCACGGTCAACGTCCGCCCCACGTGTCCCAGGACATGGGTCTGTCCATCTGGGCGTTGCGCCTCGACTCCGGCAGCTGGGGCCCGTTGCCAGGCCCCAGGGCCATCCGAATGATGAACCCCGGAAGAAGATCTACCCTTCAGGTCGGGTGTTGCCAGAAGTGGCCCTGGCCCAGGGTGCCCCCAGCTTTCCGCTCCATTTTGGAGCCCCTGGGGCCGTTTGGGCCTCGTGAGGGGTGCCCTGGAGGCGGTCTGGGCCACCCCGAGAATCCAGGGATACCTTGGGCCAGGGGTACTTCTAGCAACAACCGGCTTGGGGCAGGGAACGGGAGTTCTGGGGCCGCGAATTCAAGAATCATAGCGGTGGATGCCTGGGGTCGTCGTCGTTCTCGCCGTCGTCCGTCGGCGTCGTCGTCCGCCGCCTCCGCCGCCGGTCCTCGTCGTCCGTCGAGTAGTCGCCCTGCCGCACGTCGTCGTTGTCATTTGACGTCGGCGGTGTCTTCATCCTCGTCGTCTTCGTGGTTGTTGTTTCTTTTCTTGGGCTTGCTGTCGGGAGCTCCGAGCCCGTAGCGTCAGCATTGCATACCGTGCAGCAGAAGCGGCAGCGGCATGCGCCAGGACCAGCAAAACGACCCACTCCAGGAGGCCAGCGGGCCAGCCAAGGTGATGGGTCGGAACCTCCAGGCCGCACAACAGCACCCCGACCAGGAACAAAAGGGTGGGGATGGGGAAACGACGACCTCACGTGCACGATGGCGCTAAACTCATGGAGGAAAGAGGGGGGAAGAAAGTCCAGGTCGGGATGCCAGGAGAGGTGGAGGCACACGCCCCTACAAGCCCTCCTGGTGATACAGGGTGAGCGCCAAAGCGTGATCGGATGGCAAGACAGACGGGGGTGATATAAAGGCGAGAGGGAACGACTTGTCGTCGTCCTCGTCGTCCTCGCCCGTCGCCGTGCAATACGAGGCCAGGACGAGGATAAAGCCGGGCGAGGATGCATCCAGAATATGTAAGATGCGGCGGCTCTGAAGGATGTGTCGGGCGCCGCGGCCTTCTCAGAGCGTTCTGGAACGCTCTGCAACGGACTTATCTAGAGGCCTCCTAGATGGGGTCAGAGTAGATGGGGTCGATCGAAGCATCACCACGCACGCATCGACGACACGTCGGAAATGCACCAGCGATGCATCGGTGATGCACCTGTGATGCATCGTCGACGTCGGCGATGCATCAGCGACGTCGACGTGAAGCAAATCGGGCCCCGCATCGAAACGCATCGGCGATGCATCGGCGATACATCGGCGATGCGGCGCAACCCTCTGACCCCATCCACTCGGACCCCATCTAGGATTAGGTCGGGCATGTGCCCCCAAAATGACCAAAACATATCCAACAATGATCAAACATAGTCGAAACATCGTCCCCAGACTTTTTTGACTATTTCGGAAGATTCCCCCTGTAGAGGGACAGGCCCGACTTACATCTAGGAGGCCCAGATGATCCTCGTCCCAGCCCAGCCCGCTTGCCTGCCGTTCTCGTTCGCCGCCGTGGCCGGCGGCCGAGACGCCGTGGTCGGGCGGCGAGGCGGCGGCGTGGCGCGGCGGCGGTGGGCGGCGAGGAGGCACGCGGCGGCAGCGACAACGGCCACGACGACGACGACGAAGCCGAAGCCGACGACGACGACAGCGACGAAGCCGACGACGACGAGGACGAGGGCGACGAGAACGAGGACGAGGACGCGGACGAGGAGGATGAGGACGAGGACGGAAGGGCGGGGAAGGCGGACGGCGAGGACGCCGACGACGGCAACGACGCCGACGACAAGGGGGAGGAGGGGGAGGCACCCCCTGCGCTCCCCCCCCTGCCCTCGCCCCCCACCCCGGGTCCCTTCAGACCCCCCACGCCCTGCCTTTTGACGCCGTGGACCCCTGGAGGCCTCGAGCCCTCCCCCTGGAATCGGTTCCCCCCTGTCCAGGTGGGCGACGCGAGCCGAGCCACCCGGCGATGTGTCGTTTTCAGGCGGCGGCCCTCTCGACCGTTTCTCGGAGGTTGCTGGAGGTGCCCCTGGAACAGGGTGCCCCCCAGCCCTTCGCTCCATTTCAGGGCCCCCGGGGACCCCCCGGTCCTTGTGAGGGGTGCTCTGGAGGCCGCGGGGGCCTCCGTGGTCCTGAGGAACCTTGGGCCAGGGGGGCACTTCTAGCAACACGCGAGACGACAGAGGACGACAATGATAATTCCAATGACGACGACGACGACGACGACGACGACGACGACGACGACGACAATGACGACGACAGCGGCCGACGACAATGATGTCGACAACGAGGCGCCGCTGGGGGCGGCGCCGACGTCAAGAACGGCGACGACGGAACGGCGGACGCACCCTGAAATCCGACGCTGCGAAACATTACGACATCTTGCAAAATCACGTCTAGAGCCTCAGACCCCTTCCGTTGCATTTCCCGAGCCGGATCAGTCTCTGAAGGTCCAGACGCCTGACGGCGGGCGAAAAAACGCACTGCGTGAAAGATTGCAACGCCCAGATCTGAGGGTACGACGACGACCGACGACGACGGACGACGACGAGGGCGAAGACCAACCCAGACCTCCGATGTCTGGATTTTTTCAATACGGGGTCCCGAGAACTCTCGTACCGGACCATTTGAACTCTCGTCCCAGATCATTTTCTGAGAGGGCCCGGCGGGGGCCCCCGGTGGTCGAAAACAGAAAAAAAACGTCCGTCGCGACGTCTGTACACCGCAAGGGGGTCTGGGGACGACGACGGCGGCGGGCGAAGACCTGCGACGAACGGCCGCGATGGGCGGCGGCAAGGCGGCGGGGTGGCTGCGGCAAGGCGCAGCGAGCGGCAGCCGGGGCAGGAACGGTCAGCATCGAAGCGGGAAGTCGGATCGGATCGCAACGTGTGCCGAATCGGACCGCTTCGGCACGGAGGCCGAATCGAACCGAATCGGCGGCACCAGGACGCACAGCAGCACTGTGCACGCACCGGGCCGCCTCGGAGCTTCGGCACACCGGAGTCGACTCGGATCGAGATGGCCGAAGCCGATACGGCCGGCCCGTATCAGGAGGCTGCGCGATGAAGATGCAAGAGCCTGGGGCGCCCACTCCGAAGATTCTCGAGCGGGGCGCGGCCAACGAAAGTGGCCGAGGATGGGCCGAGGAGGTAAGGATGCAAGGGTACCCCTGGAAAGGTTGCCCCTCTTCGATGGTGTGCTGCACCCTTCGGGATAATAAATGCCCAGACCCCCAACGGGCCATGAGGAGGAGGAGGAGGAGGAGGAGGAGGAGGAGGAGGAGGAGGAGAGGAGGAGGAGGAGGAGGAGGAGGAGGAGGAGGAGGAGGAGAGGAGGAGGAGAGGAGGAAGGAGGAGGAGGAGGAGGAGGAGGAGGGGAGGAGGAGGAGGAAGAAGAGGAGGAGGAGGAGGAAGAGGAGGAGGAGGAGAAGGAAGATGAGGCGGGCGACGACAAGAAGGATTGATCGGAGCGACAATGGACTCTGCATATGGGCGTGCTCCTGCAGCAACCGCTGCTCGCTGGCGCGCGCGGCGGCCAGCTGCTGCCGCAGGCCGGCGATCTCCTGCGGGAGGTGGGCGGGCGGCTCGCTGGCGGAAGAGGTCCGAGATCGGCTCAAAACCAGCCCCCCCGACCAGGGCCCAACCTTCCGCTGATGCTCAGAACGTGTGTCACAGGCCTCGGACAAAAAAGCATAGCGAACGCACATGCCACATTCATCGGTCAACGGCTCCCCCTCCCCCCAAAAATGTTCAAAGTGGGCGGTGGGTCTGATGAGTGCCACTTCGACCGCAGTCTCCCCCGCGCGGTCCAATTCTGAGTTCGGGGGATCGGGGAAGTGTCGACGGATTGTTTCCCCCCCGAGCGTAGCGCCAACGAGTGTTTGTCCGCCAAGGCCCTTCGAGACGACGCAGGCGGCGCACCGAGGGCCGACACAGCCTGCGCTCGATCGGCGGAGCCGACGTGATCTGTTCGACCTGGGCGCTCCTTCCCGACTTCGGCCTCTGGGGCCCCGGGGGCCCTCCATCACGCCCAACGAAGACACCACCGCAGGCAACCGTCCTTGCAGATCCACCGTAAGCCGTGCCATGAGGGTGCCGTGGCCAGGCCTGAAGCGAGAGGGCCTGCCAGCGTGGCCGGACGTACCCCGGAACCCCGCAGGCATCAATCAGCCCGCCAAGGAGGAGAGAGGAGAGGGAGAGAAGGGGAGGGATGGGGAACGCCAATGGAGAGCCCTCGGCGCAGGGGTCGGGACCTCTTGAGGCCACGCCGTGGAAGAGTCACGACGTCGGATGTCTGGGCCCCGGAGCTACACCCTGATCGGTCTTCCTGATGGGCCCGTTCTCCACCACCACCACCACCACCACCACCACCACAAGACGGAGGGGGACGGGTCCTCCTCCTCCTCCTCCTCCTCCTCCTCCTCCTCCTCCTCCTCCTCCTCCTCCTCCTCCTCTTCGTCATTCTCCTTCTCGTCCTCCACCTTCTCCTTCCCTCCAACTTACGGTGGTGGTGGTGGTGGAAAACGGGCCCATCACTTCCATCTCCGGATCGAGCTTTAACAGCTCTGGGGCCCCGAAGCAAGCCTCCCTTCCCCAAGACTGGCTTCCCAGCACGAGGGGTCCGCGAGCCCCTTTTTCGTCGACGGCCCAGGCCCCCTTTTGGCAGGATTTTGCACCAAAAACCGGATGTGATGGCGAGCGTCTCTCCGCGGCGCGGGGGGCGGCACGGCGGGTCGGACCAGAAATCTAAATTTAGGTCGGGCATGTCCCCCCACAGGGGGAACTTGGACGGAAAATAAAACATTGTCAACAAAAAATCCAAAATAGCAAAAAAGCTTAAAAAATTGTCCCCAGACTATGTTTGGACTATTTTTGAATATTCCCTCTGTAGGGAGCAGGCCCGGCTTACATCTAAATCACGATCGGGCTCGGGCTGCGGGTCGGGATCGACGGCCGCCGCGCGGGTCGGAACCGACGATCCCAGGCCAGGTGCCCTGGGCTCGCGCTCTCCAAAGCCTTCGGACGCCTCCAGAGGCCCTCGGCGGCCCTCGGCGGCTTTCGGAAGCTTTCGACGGCCCTGGGGCGGTCTCGGCCCAAAGCGGTCCTCGGAGGCGTTCGGCCAGCCCCTGGCCTTCGGAGACCTTCGACGGCCTCGGCGGCCTTCGGCAGGGGTCTTCGTCGTCGTCGTCGTCGTCGTCGTCGTCGTCGTCGTCGTCGTCGTCGTCGTCGTCGTCGTCGTCGAGGGCGGCGGCGGCGGCGGCTGCGCTGTCGTCGTCGTGGTCGCAGGAAGGAGGCGGAGCGAGACAGAAGAGAAAGAGGTCGTGGCGGAGATCTGCCTGACTCCCATCCTTCTCATGCTTCGCCTTCGCCTTCTACTCCTCCTCCTCCTTCTCCTCCTCCTCCTGCTCCTCCTCCTTCTCATCCTCTCCCTCTGTCTCCTCCTCCTCCTGCTCCTCTTCCTCCTCCTCCTCCTCCTCCTTCTCATCCTCTCCCTCTGTCTCCTCCTTCTCCTCCTCCTCCTCATCATCCTCCTCCTCCTCCTCATCCTCCTCCTCCTCCTCCTCCTCCTCCTCCTCCTCCTCCTCCTCCTCCTCCTCCTCCTCCTCCCTCCTCCTCCTCCTCCTCCTCCTCATCCTCCTCCCTCCTCCTCCTCCTCCCTCCTCCTCCTCCTCCTCCTCCTCCTCCTCCTCCCCCCCCCCCTCCTCCTCCTCCCTCCTCCTCCTCCTCCCTCTCCTCCTCCTCCTCCCCTCCTCCTCCTCCTCCTCCTCCTCCTCCTCCTCCTCCTCCTCCTCTCCTCCTCCTCCTCCTCCTCCTCCTCCTCCTCCTCCTCCGCCTCCTCCTCCCTCCTCCTCCTCCTCCTCCTCCTCCTCCTCCTCCGCTCCTCCTCCTCCCTCCTCCTCCTCCTCCTCCTCCTCCTCCGCCTCCTCCTCCTCCTCCTCCTCCTCCTCCTCCTCCTCCTCTCCTCCTCCTCCTCCTCCTCCTCCTCCTCCTCCTCCTCCTCCTCCTCCTCCTCCTCCTCCTCCTACCTCCTCCCTCCTCCTCCTCCTCCTCCTCCTCCTCCTCCTCCTCCTCCTCCTCCTCCTCCTCCTCCTCCTCCTCCTCCTCCTCCTCCTCCTCCTCCTCCTCCTCCTCCTCCTCCTCCTCCTCCTCCTCCTCCTCCTCCTCCTCCTCACCTCGTCTCCCTCCTCCCCCCCTCCTCTTCCTCCGTCTTCTCCGTCCTCCTAAATCCTCGTCCTCCCTCACGGAGAGGTCTGGTCGCTGCCTGTGAAGGCTGCCCGCAAGCGTCCTCCTTCCAGGGCCTCGGGGCCCGGAGCTGGGCGAAGGCGTTTGGTGTGACAGAACTGCAACGCCTGGACATCAGTGGTGCATCGTCGTCCTTGGTCGTGGACCGTCGGTCGTCCCTATCCCAGGTGCGCCGAAGAGAAGGGCCGAGAAGCCGAAGGTTGGCGCATCATAGCCCGAGGCAGGTGCGCCAAGGAGGGGGGACGGGGAACGCGGTGAGAAAAGAAGAAGAATCCGCCGACTCTGTCGACGTGTGGAGGACGCGTCGTCGTCGTCCTCGTCCTCGTCCTCTTCCTCGTCGCCGTCGCCACTCCCCGTTGGTTCCCTGAGCCCTTCTCCTCCAACGGTCTAGCCGAAACGACAATGACGGACGTTGAAATTAAATCGAGCCCTTCCATTTGATCCCTTGCCCGCCCTGGTGGGGGGGTCCCAAGGGGAGGTCCCGAAGAAGGGTCTTTGGGGCAGGGGGGTGTCCCGGAGGGGGGTCCCGGGTCAGACAGAATACCACCCCTCCGGGGAGGGTCCCGCGGGGGGTCCCGGAGAGGTTCCCGGGGGGGGGTCCCGGGTCAGAATACCACGTCGTCGTCGTCGTCGTCGTCCTCGTCCTCGTCGTCGTCGTCGTCGTCGTCGTCGTCGTCGTCGTCGTCGTCGTCGTCGTCGTCGTCGTCGTCGTCCTTGCCGCCGTCGTCGGCAGCGGCATCGGCGGCGGCGTCGGTGTCGTCGCCGTCGCCGCCGTCGCCGTCTCGTCGTCGTCGTCGTTCAGGGTCGGCGGAATTTGCCGTAAGGCTTCTCCAGCACACAGAAGAAGGAGAAGAAACGGACGAGGGGGCCATGACATCTCGGAATTCTCATGGCCTCGGCCATGAGATCCACACACGCACACATACACACCTGGCCTCGCCGACGGGTCGGCTTCTAGACGCCTCCCAGATGGGGTCTGAGGATCACGTCGCATCGTCGATGCATCACCGATGCATGGGGCGACGTCAGCAATACATCGGCGACGTTGGCGTGGAGAACATCGCGATATCGCGATGCTCCGACCCCTATCTAGTCTGACCCCATTTGGGAGCCCGATAGCTTCTGGGCCATAATTCTGGCTCCTTTGGCGGCCGCCCGGGGCGATCTGGGACCCTCTGGAACGCTCTCTCCTCGATGCACCCCTGCTCGCAAGCCTCATGGGGCGAGGGCACCTCCAAGAACCACTGGATCTCCCGAACACATGCAGGACCCCCCCTCTCAAGGCCGAGACCTCCTCGCGCCTCCCCCCTCCTCGTGCTGCTCCTCACCCTGATCCCCCAACCCCCGTCCTACTCCTGACGCAGGCCGCTGGGCACTCACACGGGTGGCGCCGCATCCACTCCTCATCCTCCCCCTCATGTTTCTCCTCCTGTTCCTCCTCCTCCTCCTCCTCCTCCTCAGCATCCTTCTCCTTCTCCTTCTCCTCCTCCTCCTCCTTCTCCTCCTCATCCTCCTCCTCACTTCTCCTTTTCCTGTTCCTCCTCCTCATCCTCCTCCTCCTCCTCGCTCCTCGCTCGCTCCTCCTCCTCCTCCTCCTCCTCCTCCTCCTCGATCCTCCCTTTTTGCTCCCCGCTCCCCGCAGATCCTCCTCCTCCTCTTCCTCCTCCTCCTCCTCATCCACATCCTCCTCCTCCTCCTCCTCCTCCTCCTCGCTCCTCCCCCTCCTCGCTCCTCCCGCTTCGACCCTCGAGCTGCGGAATTTTCTGTGCCCGGCAGCACTGGAGCCCCCACAGCCCTCCCACCTGCGACGTCCAGAGGGGGAGGAGCTCTTCCTCCGCCTCCTCCTCCTCCTCGCTCCTCCCTCCTCGCTCCTCGCGCCTCGAAGCTCCTTCTGCATTTCATACTTATATATACTTATTTATAAAAACTGATCATTTGTTTTGGTTTCTTTTCTATGTTTTGCTCCTCACCTTCTCGCTCCTCCTCTTCCCTCCCCCTCCTCGCTCCTCCCCCCTACCTCCTCTCCCTGGTCCTCCCCCCTTCTCTTGGACGCCCCCGACCACCCCCACTGGGCGCTCCGTTCGGGGCGTGGGCGCCACGGTCAGCACGGCCCCGTCGCCCACCCCGCCGCCCCAGGCGGGCTCGTCGGAGGCACGCTCGCCGAACCGGGCAGCCTCGGCGGCTTCCTCGCGGGGACGACGGCGGCGACGACGACGAAGACGACACTAACGGCGCCGACGACGCCGACGACAAAGCTTCCGCCGACGACGACGGCGACCTCACCATTGACGGCAACGACGACGCCGACGGCGACGACGAGGATGACGGCGAAGACGACGACGGCATCGACGACGACGGCGGCGTCGACGGCCACGATGGCGACTGCGAGAACGGCGGCGACGACGCCGCAGACGCCGCCGACGCCGACGACGCCGACGACGACGCCGACGACAACGACGACGCCTCCGACGACGAAGGCGACGACGACGAAGGCGACAACGGGGCCTGTGACGACGGCGGCGACGACGATAACGCCTACGACGACGACGACGCCGACGACAACGGCGACGACGACGACGGCGACGGCGACACCGCCGCCGCCGACAACGCCTCGACGACAACGACGGTGACGGTGACGGCGACGGCGACGACGACGACGCCACCGACAACGACGACGACGACGACGGAGACGACGACGACGCTGACGACGGCACCGACGACGATGACGACGACGACGTCGATGTCGACGACGACGCCGCCAACGAAACCGACGACGGCGGCGACGATGCCAACGCCGACGACGACAACGACGACGACGAAGGAGACGACGGCGGCGACGACCACGATGACAGCGACGACCGCGACGCCGGCGACGTCGACGGCGACGGCGACGCCGCCGCCGACGACGACGACAGCGGCAACGACGGCGGCAATAACGGCGACGCCGCCGCCAACGCCGCCGCCGACGACGGCGGCGACGACGTCGACGTCGACGACGGCTGCGACGGCGACAACGACCACCGACGACGACGACGACGGCGATGGCGACGACGGCGACGACGATAACGACGACGACGACGCCGACGCCGACGGCGACGGCGGCGACGGCGACGACGACGACGACGACGGCGACGCTGCAACGGACGATAACGACGGCGGCGACGACGACGACGACAACGACGACGCCGACGACGACGACGGCGATGGCGACGACGACGACGACGGCGACAGCGGCGACGGCGACTGCGGCGGCGCCGACGACGACGACGACACCGCCGCCGAAGGCGACGACCACGGCGACGGCGACGACATCGAATACGCAAACGACGACGATGTCGACGGCGACGGCGACGGCGACTGCAACGGCGACGACGACGGCAACGACGACGACGGCGACGGCGACGACGGCGACGACGACTACGACGCCGACGCCGACGACGGCGGCGACGGCGACGACGACGACGACGACGGCGACGCTGCAACGGACGATAACGACGGCGGCGACGACGACGCCGACGACAACGACGACGGCGACTACGACGACGACGACGACGACGAAGATGGCGACGACGACGACGGCGACGACGGCGACGGCGACGACGCCGGCGGCGACGACGACGACGACGACGCCGTCGCCGACGACGACGACCACGGCGACGGCGACGCCATCGAATACGCACACGACGACGACGTCGACGGCGACGGCGACGGCGACAGCAACGGCGACGACTCCGCCGCCCCCGCCGACCACGACGACGACGGAAACGACGACGACGACGGGGACGACGACGACGGCGTCGGCGACGGGGACAGCGCCGACGCCGACGACGACGGCGACGACGACGACGGGGACGACGACCACGGCGACGCCGACGACAACGATGACGACGACGGCGACTGCGCCAACGCCGACGGCGGCAGAGACTTCGCCGACGGCGACGACGACGACGCCGACGGTGACTACGAAAATGATGGCGACGGCGAGGGCGACGGCGGCGACGACGACGACGACGTCGACGGCGACGGACGACGCCACTGCCGTCGACGCCGTCGCCGAAGACGACGACGGCGGCGACGACGCCGACGACGACGACGAATGCGACGGCGACCACGACGGCAACGACGACTGCGACGCCGACAACGGCGGCGATGACGACAAACACGGCGGCGACGGCGACGACGACAGCGACGGAGATGGCGACGCCGGCGCCGACGCCGACGGCGACGACGCCGACGACGACGACGGCGACAACGACTACAACGACGCCGTCGACGCCGACTACGACGCCGACTGCATCAACGACAACGAAGACGACGACAAAGACGACGACGACGACAGCGACAGCGACGGCGACGACTCCACCGCCGCCGCAGCCGACCCAACCGCCGACGACGGCAACGCTATGCTGACAATGACGACGGCGACCGCGACGACGGCGCCGACGACGACGATGACAGCGGCGGCGACAGTGACGGCGGCGACGACGCCGACGACGCCGACGATACCAACGACGACGACGGCGACGGCAACGACGACTACGACGACGTCGACAGACAACGACAACGACGGAGACGGCAACGGCAATTGCGATGACGTCAACGACGGCGGCGGCAACGGCGACTGCGACGACGACGACGACGACGGCGACGGCGAAGACGGCGAAAGCGCGACGGCGACGGCGACTGCGACGAGGCCGACAACGGCGACGGCGACGACGACTGCGACGGCAACGAACCCGCCGACGACAGCGACGGCAACGGTGACGGCGACAGAAACGGCGGCGACGCCGCCGCCGTCGACGACGACGACGACGCTGACGATGACGACTATGGTGAGGGCGAGGGCGAGGGCGAGGGCGACGACAGCGACAGCGACGACGACGGCGAAAACGAAGATGAAAGCTACGACGCCAACGACAACGACGTCGACAACGCCGCCACCGATACCGAGGACGGCGGCCACGACGACGATTCCGACGCCGACGCTGCCGTCGCCGACGACGACGGCGACGAGGATGATGACAACGATGACGACGGCGACGGTGACGGCGACAGCAACAGCGACGGCGACGACGCCGCCAGCGACGCCGACGACGGCGACGACGACGACGACGACGCCGACCACGGCGACGACGACGGCGACGACGACGACGACCACGACCAGCACGACGACGGCGACGGCAACGGCGACGGCGAGGGCGACGATGCCGACGACGACGACGACAACAACGGCGGCGCCGACGACGACGACGCATGTGACGCCAACAACGACCACCATGACGACGCCGACGACGAACGCGACGCTGCCGCCGCCGACAACGACGCCGACGACGAAAACTACTACGACGACGGCGACGACGGCGGCGACAGCGACGGCGACAGCGACGGCGACGACGCCGCCGCCGCCGACGAATACGGCGACGACGGCGTCGATTTCGACTACGACTCCGACGACGACGAGGACGACGACGAGGACAACGTCGACGACGACGACGACGACGGAACGACAACGACGACGACGACGACAACGGCGACAGCGACGGCGACGGAGACGGCGACGACGCCACCGATGCCGCCGACAACGACGCCGACGACGAAAACTACTACGACGACGGCGACGACGGCGGCGACAGCGACCACGACAGCGACGGCGACGACGCCGCCGCCAACGACGAATACGGCGACGACGGCGTCGATTTCGACTACGACTCCGACGACGACGAGGACGACGACGAGGACAACGTCGACGACGACGACGACAACGATAACGACGACGACGACATCGGCGACAGCGATGGCGACGGAGACGGCGACGACGCCGCCGATGCCGCCGACGACGGCGACGACGATTACGACGGGGATGCCGACGACAACGGCGACGACGCGGCCGACGCCGGCGCCAACGCCAAAACCGATACCGACGTCGACGACAACGACACAGCCGTCGATACGACGCCGACACAGCCGTCGCCACCGCCGACGACAACGACGATGCCAGCGACGCCGACGACGACGCCGACGCCCTAAACGACAATGGCGCCGGCGACGGCGACGCCGACAGCATGACGATGACGACGACGACGACGACGCCACGGATGACGACGACGACGACCCCGACGACGACGAGGACGACGGCGACGGCGTCGGAAACGGCGACGGCGACGGCGACAGCGACGGCTTCGCCGCCGCCGCCGCCGACAACGACGACGAGAACGGCCGCGACGACGACGACGACGACGTGGTTGACGCCGACGACGTCTACGACGACAACAACAACAACTACGACGACGTGGTTGACGGCGACGCTAATGCCGACGACGCCGACGTCGACGACAACGTCGCCGACGACGACGGCGACGCCGCTGACGACGGCGACGACGACCGCGACGCCGACGGCGACGGCGACGGCGACGGCAACGGCGACGTCGGCGAATGCGGCGTCGGCGACGGCAGCGACGACGCCAGCGCCGACGCCGACGCAGACGCCGATACTGACGCCGGCGACGACGACGACGCCAACGCTTATACGGGCGACGACGACGACGACGACAAAGACGACGACGACGATGGCGACCACGACGAAGCTTCCAAGCGCTTCCAGACGGCGCCACGCTCTCGAGCCGCGTCCGACGCGCGGCGGGCCTCCCTCCCGCGCGCATGTCGCGCGCGAAGCGCCTAGGCTGGGCAGCCCCCCCCACCCAAGGACAGGCATAGGCTCGGCTCCCCTGGGCGACTCCACCCCAGAATAAGCACTTGCGCCCCTGCCTGACATGGGGCCACCCACGGCCTCCTCAGGCCTGCCCCTTCGCACGCAAGTCTCCCTCTTCCTCGATTCGCCTCGCGCTTCCCTTGGCGCGGGCCAGGCCCCTCCTCCTCGCTGGTGCTCTTCCCGGCCCCAGCCAGCCCTCTGCCACCGGCCTCGGAGCGCTTTCTCTTCTCCTCGAGGCCGCCCAGCCTCCTCTGCTTGCGCCGCCGCTTTCTCGGCCTCCTCCTGCTTGGCCACAACCCCAGCTCGAGCAGTCCTCGCTCGCTAGGGCCGCAGGCCGTGTAGACGCCCGCCAGGGGTCTGAGGGGCGGCCCCCTGGCGCAGCCCACGGGCCTCTGCTCGGTGTCTCCACAACCTCCTCGGTGCTCGCGCTCCCCTTCTCTCCTCCTGCCCGTGTCAGCTCCGCCTTGGGACCCCCGCTGACCCCGCTCAGGAACTCGCGTCTCGTCGCGCCCCGATCAGGTCTGGGGCGCCTTTCCGGCAAAGAGCCTTCTGAGCTGCTCACGTGGAGCCTTCGCCCCACGGCGCGACAACGACGACGACGGCAGCGTTCGTCCGTGCGTTCGTTCTTCCGTTCGTTAGGCGCCCTGCTGAGGCGCCTCCTCGGCACGGCGCCGCGAGCAGATGTTAGGTTACAAGCGGTGCCGGGGCCATCTTGAAGTCTTGCGCCATTCAAGCTACGCACGCTGCCCATCTCTCCAAGACAGTCCCAGAAATTTTCGGAGCAGCCAATAATCCCCGTACGATTTATAGAAGTCGCGCGCTCAACGACAGATCCCTGCGGTACAATGGTGCAAATGAGATACTTGCCATCTGGTCATGGCACGCATCCAGGCCCTATCGTGAAAACGGAAGACTCTGTAGGCGATGCGTTCTGGCGCCGAGCGGGCAAAAGACTGCAGGTGGCCTGCCCATGCACGTTGCCTTCGTCGGAAGGTGCGGGGCCAGGTTTCGATATGATTGCGCGTGCTGACATCCAGGACTGTGGCCATCGCGGCCTTCATATATCCTGCTGCTGTCTCACCCCCGGGAGACTGATCATTCTACGGAGCACAGTCTCATGGCATTCCAAGGCCCCACGCGGCGATAGAGACTACTCCAGGCCGACGCGGCGATGGAGACTACCAGTGCAATATGTCGGAGCGGGGCGAACACATCTATCGAGCGCTCTCAGCCTCTTCTGTAGGCTGGTCTTCGGATTAGTTAACGCGGCTCTGTGCGCGGCCCAGGTCCCCCAGGCCCGCTGGATTATATTGCATATCTCGCGCGCGCAGCTGCGATCAAGACCTGCGTGGGTGCCCGGGATGTTCGACATATGGGGCGATCTCTACGCGGCGCCAGACGGCCGCGGATGCGAAGCGCGAAGATATGTGAAGGGCAAATGCGGCACCACTCTTAAATCGCGGGGACTTTTAAACCGCTGCGAGACAGGATTCGCAGCCGCGCCTCGGTCATTTCGGTGATATCAAACCGACCGAGCGAGGATCCAGAAATTGTCAGCGAAACCCAGGGCCCCCAGGGTCTCGCCCTCTTCTCCAGGGGGCGCGAGCAGGACTCTCCGGCCGTCCTAGCGGCTCAAGTCGTGAAGCTCACGGAAGCATTAATGCAAATAGATGCCACTCAACTCTGGAGCGGCAGGGTCGCCCTTGATGAGGGCCCGCGACGGCGTTCCCAGACAGGCGGACGCGGGCGACAGACGCAAGAGTTTTCCTGATGCAGAATCCAGCCACAATCCGCGAGACACCACGGCTCTCCTAGCGACGGGCGAGGCCAGCATGCGGAATGGTGTCGTAGAGTGTCCGAATGCCCCTCCCCCCCCGCCACGACCAGGTGGGGGTCCTTGCGTGCGCAGAATTTCTGCACTAGGTGGCGCAACCAATCTGTGATTTCGCGGGCCAGGTAGCCCCTGCGGAAAGCGATTTTTTGATCGCAGCGGCAGGGCCCAATCTCCCCCCTTTGGGTTTCCAGAGTCATCGTGCTCAGGACTGTTTTGCGACGCGGATTCGAAGGCGATCGGGCGGAACAGCGAAATCTCCTTGGCCTCGGGCACCTTCCGAAAGATGGTTTTGGGCCCGCGGCCGAAAGGCGCCGCGCCTCGTCAGAAAACTCCGAAATATGGCTTTGGGCCCGCGGCCGAAAGGCTCACGATAATCTGTTTAGAAAGTCACCCCCAGACCTTGAAGCATCTCTCCGACTATCATGTCTGGCTCATCGCGCGACACTGCACCCTTCAAGCGGCCTATACACAGCTTCAGCAGCGGGAGGCTAAGGGGCACCTCCCGCTGCTGCTCGTCGGGGCCCACTGCATGTGGTCCCAAGCTGGCTGGGCCACGCCGCTGTCAGGGTCCTGAAACAGCTCCGCGTAGAAGGCGCGGGCCCCCTGGCCACGAGCAGCTCCAGTCGGCGCCAATTCGCCCGTCGCGGTCTCCAAGCATAGGACGAGTCGTCCTGACTCGTGGGCCCCCTCCGACCACGGAGCTTCTCCAAGTGGGTTGCCGCGCAACGGCCCCGCGTCGCCCTCTCGGCCCTGCGCGACGCTGGCCCCGGCAGGCGACGGACGCGAGGGCCATCCTGTTGGGCTCGGGCTCGCTCCAGCACTTGAAATTGCAGCACCTGTGGCTCTCCTGCTGGTGGTCTCCACTTGCCTCGCTTCGGCGCGTGGCCCGCCGCGGCGGCCGCGGTCGCCAGGGCGCCCAGCGTTGCGACACCCGCGCGGTCGCAGCAGGCTGCAGCAGACGGCGGCTGGAGGAGAGCGCGCAGGGTGCCGCCCGCGCCCTCGCTGCGGACGCAGTCCAGGCGGCGCTCGCGCGCGGCGCGGCTAGCGGCGTAGTGCATCTCGCAGGTGGCCTCAAACTCCAAGGCGCCCCAGTCGGCGGTGGGGTGTGGGCGGCGCCCGTGGCTTGTCACGTGGCTGGCGTCGCTCCCCATCTTGGCCAGGTAGTCTGCCTTCTCGTTCCTGGCGTTGCCATTGTGGCTCTGAATACACCGAATGATCAGCTCGAAGCGCACAATGCATTTACCCCGCAGGCGCGTCGCCAGGGGCGCGAGCTCGAAGTTCTCCCCGGGCTGGAAGACGCCCTGCAGCAGGTCGCGGACGTAGGTGGAGCCCGCGGTGGTCAGGATGCGCGCGCGGTCGCGCGCCAGAGGCTCGGGCTGCAGGCGCTGCCCCAGGAGCCAGGAGGCCCTCCGCGATGGCGGAGCGCTCGCCCGTGTTCAACGAGAGGCACGTCGCGCCCACGATGCGCGGGCCCCTCGGCGCCGTCGCCGCCTGGCTGCAGGCCTCCAGCCGCGGCGCGCCCTGGTCGCTGGGCTCCGCGACGTGGTGGAGCGCGAACCCCCAGCCTGCAGCGGCACAGCAGTGACGCAATGCCTGTCGCCGTCATCGCCTCGTTGAGCCGTCTGCGAAGATGCCCATGGCATTCATCGAGCCCCCCTCGGAGTGCATCGACGGCTCGGGCGGCGTGTGGCTGATCTCCAGGGACGTGCAGACGCGCGAGTTGTAGCCCTCGTGGCTGACCACCTGCCACGCGATTGGCTTGCGCGGTCGCCTCTCCAGCTCGCCGGTCGGCGCATTGTTCGCGTGGCCCTCGGCGGCTCCGCGGCAACGCAGCAGCAGAGGTAGGTGGTCGCTCTCAGTGGCGTCGCTGAATCGCGCTTGGCATAGTGTCTTGCACAGCCAGTCGCGGTGGGCGGGCATGAAGTCGATTTGTCGGAGCTCCCTCCGATTGCCCCCGCTGCCCCTTCGAGAAAGCAGTCGTCGCAACAAGGTCAAACTCTGCCACCGAGTCATGCAACATCTCTCCTTCCCAGGTCATCTCGAATGAGGAGTCTGGGCCAATTGTATCTCCATCCGAACTTCCAAGGCCATCGCGGGCGCCGATGCTGGCAATGGCGCGGCAATCAACTGGCATAGAAACCAAACGCTCCCGCGCCTGCTTGATAGTCCCTGCATACTCGCACTTCACAATGTGAAGAGAAAGTGGTGGCTGCTGATCAGGCAGGTGTGGTCCCATATCGGTATATGCAAGTCCAGGGCCATGGTGCGACCGCGGAGCTGAGGGGCGCCAAGGACAGAGGGTTGCAGGGCTTCCGCAGCCGCTATCGCACATCGTGGCCAAGCCCCCGCCGGAGGCGACACGTGCATAACATGGCCGCCGCATGGCTGCTCAGCTCCGCCAACAACGCACCATTCTTGAAACAGATAATTTGTGGATCAAATTCGCGTGCAAGTTTTTCCAATACGTGTTGCCGCGGTCTAGCAAGGACGCCTCTCGCATTCCAACCCAGAACTGTGGGGTCCCTGGCGTCACTAGCAAAGCGGCGGCCACGCACTCGAAATCACTGTGCTCGAGATGGGTCGTTGATCTCGCCCAGCCTGTCTCTGAGCCCCATGCCTTTCATCTCCTAGTCCAAGAGTGCCGTGGCAAAGGGGGTCGGTGCCGATCTCGAGCAGGTCCGAAGTCCTCGATCGGGTCCAGATGCGGATCGGCCTCCCGGTGCTGTTCTTACGATATACCACCTGGCCTTTGTCCCAATCTGCGTCGGATAAGCGCATCTCGGTCTCCTCCGTGCACAGCCCGTGTTCCGTACCATACCCGCGCAGGATGCGGACCGCGAAGCTCGCATTACGAGACAACTCCACCGCGTGCGGCTCTTGGTCCACCTTGTGCCACAGCTTATTATTCCGTGCGCCAGGGCAGGGGGTCTTGTGACCGTTCCAGCGCTGCGAGGAACCCCGCATCTTCTGGTTGCCCAGAAAAAAAAACATCTTGGCTTGATCGCAGAACCTGCCCAGTCCGTACACCTCCGTAATGCCTTGGCGCTCCAAGGTCTCCGACTTCGCCAGCTCGGTGCGCAGATGCCTCTCGACCTCATCCTTGTCCCATGTGCCTGGGAAGCCCGCCGCGAACACAACCTGCTCGGTGTTCTTCCCCCCTCCTCGCATCTGTGTAAAGCCTGGTCCAGCAGCGTGTGGGGCGGTTCCGTCTCACTGCTGCTGCAGGCAGGCGCCCCGCGGGTCAGGCGGGCCGCTGGCGACGGAGGCTGACCCCTGGCCTGGGCGAGAAGCGGCAGCTGCCGTGCTCGCCGCCGAGGAGCGACCTGTCTCGAGCGCCTCCAACCTAGCCTCTTGCGCCCACAACCGTGCCTGCACCGCGGCGATGTCTCTCGCGTTTGTCTCCGTCGTGCGCTTGAGCGTCGCCACGCCGCACTCTATCGTCTCGATCCTGGTGCCCATGGAGGCAGTCAGCGAGCCGATGATGTACTGGGCCAGGTTCAGCTGGGACGGGTCTGACGGTGGGGGCGGCGGCGGCGCAGGAGGACTCATCGCATCCCCTGCGGCGCCAGCCGCCGAATGTGTAGCAAGCCCTGCAGCTGCAGCACGTGGCACCTCGTTCAGCAACCCTGGGCCGTCATCGGTGTCTGCATCCTCGATACCATCATCGCCGATCTGGGCCTGGCCAGCTACGCGACGGCGCTTGTCTCGCTCCCAAGCCGCGCCCTCGCCAGCCGCGCACCCCGAGGCAAGGGCAGGAGGTGCCTGGGGGTGGGGCGCGGCTGTCGCCATCTCGTCCGCAGCAAAATGCGCGGAGTCTCAGGACGGTCGCTGAGGGCATACGAAGAGGGTCCGAGGCCTGAAAAGAACGCGGCAGCATCAGGCCGAGCAAGGCAGCTCGACCAGGGCGTGCGAGACCAGTGCTCCGTGGGTGCCGTCTTGAGCCAAAATGGCAAAATGACGACGGCGACGGCGACGGCGACGACGGCGGCGACGGCGACGGCGACGACGGCGGCGGCGGCGACGGCGGTGCCGACGACGACGGTGGCTGGCCACGAAAGCCTCGCGCATCTGCATCCACAGCCACCGAAGCTAGTCTTGATGCCGCTGAGGCTGAACGATGGCGGCGGCGGGGACGACGACGACGACGACGACAGTGGCGACGACAGCGGCGGAAACGACAACCCGCCCCCGCGCCGTCGGTCGGCGGCCTCGGCGGCCTCTCGGGAGGCTCTGGCGGCAAGGACGGAACAGCCGCTGGAACATCCTCGCTCCGTGGAGGAATCGCGGCTGGCAACGCTTGGCCGTCAGGCGCCCTGGCTAGGGCCCCAGCGTCGCGACCAAAGCAGCTCCGGATGGAAAGCGGGTCCCCGAAAAGGTGCAGGCCTGCATGACAGCTGGGCCGAACCGCGAAGCCTGGTCGGATCGGAGACGGATCGGATCGCCAGCGAACCGCCCAACATCGAACGGAGGTCGGACCACGCCGCGCGGGCTCCGGCTGGTCTGGGCCGATGCAGGCTTCAAGCGAACCGAAACTCGGGGGTACGTGTAGGGGCGACGGTGGGATTGGAAGGAACCCGCTCCAAACGGCCCGTGGAAGGGAGAAGCATCAGTTCAAATCTGCGTCCGCTCACCAACATCTTGGGCTAACCCCCGCTACGTTCTCTCGAGAACGGGCCGAATCGGAATCGCGACCCCAGCAAACGAAGCAAACCACACCGGATCGGATATCCCAGGCGGCCAGAGGCGCAGACCTCAGGGGGAGCGAGAGGGGGGGCAGCTCAGGGGAGAAGCATCGACCTGGAGACGGCGACCATTCATCGCCAACAGATCGGCGATATGCCCATGTTTGTGAAACCGCAGGTTCCTGGGTGGGGTGAGCTACCAGGCCCCCCATCGGCGACCAATGGGCGATTGGGGGTCGATGCATCTCCCCCTGAGCCCACCCCTCTAAAAGCTGCCCCATCGGTCTTCGGTCGTAGCTCGGGTCTCCAGCGGCCCGTTCGGGACGATCCAGGCACCCCCAGAGCTGGAGATCATCCCGAGGCTGGGAACCTGCCGGGAACCGACGAACACGTCCGCAAACCTCTTGCCCAAACGTTCCACCCCTGAGCTGGCAAGGCCCTGGTGTGCAGAGTCCAGGCCTCCTGGGGCCAGAGAGGGTGGCCGCACTTCTCTCGGGTGGGACGAGGGGTAAAGAAGGCAGGATGGAGAAGAACGAGGGGGAGGAGGATGGAGAATGGAGAATGGAGGAGGAGGAGGAGGAGGAGGAGGAGGCGGCGGCGGCGGCGGCGGCGGCGGCGGGGAAACGGTAATGGGCCGAAGGTAGAGGTCTCACTCTACCCCCGCATTCCGACGGATCTCGGAATCGAGCGACCTACCGTGCGCGAGGTGCGAGAAGGCGACGACGACGACGACGACGACGACGACGACGACGACGACGACGACGACGACGACGACGACGACGACGACGACGATGGCAGCCGCCGCCGCCTGCGGCGGTGGGCTCAGCGGTGCGGGCGAGGCGCTGCTGGTTGCCGGCCTGCGCTCGCGCCAGAAGCGGCAGAGCTCCTCCGCGGTCCGCGGGGCCGGGAGGAGGAGGGAGGCGACGCGGGGACAGCAGGCGGCCACGATCACATCGAAGACACGCGCGTGTCTGTGTACACGTCGTTCGTTTCTAATCGAGCTCATTTCTAATTGTGCTCGTTTCTAGTTGTTCCTGGCCCCCCAGTGGCCAGGAAGAGGCCCAGGACAGAACAATTAGAAATGAAAGGATCTCGGCCCCCCAAAAATCAAAGAGCTTCCGAATAATCAGAAATGAACAATGTATAGCGGACCTGGCGAATTGCGGCCCAGGTGCCCTGGACAGCGACTTGCGTACTGCAAGAGGCAGGGCGACGAGAGGCAGGGCGGCCACGGAGGGGAGGAGTGGGATGAGGGGGGGCAAGGAAGGATGTCACGTCGAGCACATACCTGGGGGCCGCGCTCATGCCGACAAGTGTCAGAACACCGAAGCCGGCATAGCAGGGGTCATGGTCGACATGGGCGTCCCCAGGCGGACAAACTGACCACAGCCACTGCCAAAGTGCTCATGTCGAGGGCGGCGGGTTCTTTCCCGAGGGGCCCTCCAGTAAAAAACACTCAGTAGTGGTTGTGGTTCTGTGTTGTGCCAAGAGGCAAAGAAGGAGAAGAGTGCGAGGAGGAAATGGAAGATAAGGCAGTCTCCTCCGCCGCCGTGCCTCGGTTCGATCCGCCAGCGAAGGGGGGAGGAGGCGGGGAAACACATGCGCGGCGAGCATCTCCGTATCGACGCCCTCGCGGCCATATTCGTGGCGCGTTCCCGTGGACACGCGGACGCAGTCGAATGTCGCACGGATGCGTTCCGCGCGGGACACCCCCGAGCAAGACTCCTCGCATCCATGGTGTCGCGGTCCAGGGTCCCGCAAGGCCGTGTATGTGCTGACCGCCCCCGAGGGCACGCCGAGAGGCGAGGAGAACCGCGCGCCCCGTCGAGGCCGAGCTCGGCCTCAAAGTTAGGCACGCGGCTGCCTCGAGCGAATGGGCCCGCCCTCTCCCTGTGTCTCCACCTCTCTCCTCTCTCCTCTCTCCTCTCTCCTGTCCCCTGTCCCCTCTCCCCTCTCCCCTCTCCCCGCTCCTCTCTCCTCTCTCCTCTCTCCTCTCCGTGGGCGGCGCCCACGAAGGACCGTGCCCTTTATTTGTTTGTGCCCCCCCTCCCTCCCTTCCTCCCCCGCCCTTCCCTCCTCCCCTTTTCCGAGGAGCAGTTGGCCAGAATTGCGGCCAACAAGGCCATCGCGAGGGAAAGGCGACTACAGCGCCTGGCCCCGTGGAGAGGCCGAATCGAATTCAAGTTTTGATGTATAAAGCTTTCTTTCTGAGGTAGCATGAACACAGCTATAACGCTTAGGCCAACGTGCACCACCACCACCTCTCTCCTCCTCCTCCTCCTCCTCCTCCTCCTCCTCCTTCCTCCTCCTCCTCCCTCCTCCTCCTCCACCTCCTCCTCCTCATCCGCCTCTTCCTCCACCATATCCTCCTCCTCTCCCTCTCCGCCTTGTTCTTTCCCTCCTCCCCCTTCTCCTCCTCCTCCTCCTCCTCCTCCTCCTCCTCATCATCATCATCATCATCATCATCATCATCATCATCATCATCATATCATCATCATCATCATCATCATCATCATCATCATCATCATCATCGTCATCATCCTCCCTCCTCCTCCTCCTCCTCCTCCTCCTCCTCCTCTTCCTCCTCCTCCTCCTCCTCTCTCCTCCTCCTCCTCTTCCTCCTCCCCCTCCTCCTCCCCCTCCACTTCCACTTCCTCCTCCTCCTCCTCCTCCTCCTCCTCCTCCTCCTCCTCCTCCTCCCCCTCCTCATCATCATCGTCATCATCCTCCCTCCTCCTCCTCCTCCTCCTCCTCCTCCTCCTCTCCTCCTTCTCCTTCTCCTCCTCCTCCTCCTCCTCCTCTTCCTCCTCCTCCTCCTCCTCCTCCTCCTCCTCTTCCTCTTCTCTTGTTTTTTTTGTGCTCCTCCACACCCTCCACCTTCCCCACCTGCTCCTCCTCTTCCTCCTCGTTTTCCCCCTCCTCCTCCTGGCCCGGGGGCACCCGAGTGGGTCCCACCCCCGGCGCAAGGGGGGACCCCCCGGCTTCGGGGTTTGGTCCTGGTCTCGCCACGCCACGGCAGCAAACCTGCCCGGCCCCAGCCTCCCAAGGGAGCAGGGCACCACGCGGGCACCTCCCCGTCCGCCTTCAACGGAACGGGCGCTCTGGCAGGAGCAAAGAGGAGGAGGAGGAGGAGGAGGAGGAGGAGGAGGAGGAGGAGGAGGAGGAGGAGGAGGAGGAGGAGGAGGAGGAGGACGAGGACGAGGAGGAGGAGGAGGAGGAGGAGGAGGAGGAGGAGGAGGAGGGAATGGGAATGGGAATGGGAATGGGAATGGGAATGGGAATGAAGTCGAGCAAGAGTCCAAACACGGACCCCTGCTGCGCACGAGAAAAGAGGGACTCGGGCAAACTCCAAGCTTAGCAGTCGGCCCGAGCCCCTGGGGGCCTCTCCCTCTCCTGGGGTTCAGCCCTCGGCCCGCACGGGGCCCCTCCACCATGCAGGCCAGGCGCTTGGGCCTGGCCCAATTTCGCCACGGGCGACTCTTCCCGCGCAGCCCGCAGCAACCTCTGGGCAAGGCGGCCAGCCACATCTGCCCCGCGCAGCCCGCGCCTCCTCCACAATCTGTGACGGGTACACACCTCACGACCCCACCCCCGCCTCCTCCACACGGCCTCGCCTCCGCGGCATCGAGCCGTGGAGTCGTGCTAGGAGCTCCGCTCCCGACAGCAGCCCTCCGAGCCCCTGCCTGGGAGGGGCCAGCAACGGGCGCGCCTGCAGCGGCAGGCGGCGAAGGCGCGTCGGGAGCGCCACTCCTGACAGCAGCCCTTCGCGCACGAGGCAGAACACGCACAGGAGCCTGGGTGCCGTCAGCCAGCGCTGGGCCGGTCGGTCCCGAAGGAGGTTGAGCATCAGCCAACGGCCCCCCCTGGGAGGCGCGGGAGCTGGCCGTCGCCCCCCCTCCCCCACCAGGTCGCTGCAACCCGACGGCTTGAAACCAGGACTAGGGATCGCAGCGGCCTTGGGAGCCACCTCCGACCTCGCAGCACAAATGTCACCGAGCGAGCTCGCCCTCTGCACAGCAGGCCTGCTCGCAGCAGCAATACTCCTTCCCCCACCCGACGTCGCCACCCCGCCTTCGTCCTCCGCGAACCTTGGAGGCTCGCCGGGAGCTCCGCTCTTGACTGCAGCCCTCCGAGCCCCCGACTGGGAGGGGCCAGCAGCAGGCTCGCCTGCAGCAGCAGGCGTCTGAGGCGCGTCGGGAGCTCCACTCCTGACAACAGCCCTCCGAGCGCGAGGCGCGGCATGCACGGGACTCTGGGGGCCGTCAGCCGACGCTGGGCCTGTCGGACCCGAAGGAGGCTGAGCGTCAGCCAGCGGCCCCCCCTGGGAGGCGCAGGAGCTGGCCGTCGCTCCCCCCTCCCCCGCCAGGTCGCGGCAACCCGACAATTTGAAACCAGAGCTAGGACACTCTGCAGCCATGGGGACCCGCCTCCATCCTCGCAGCACATGTGTCCCCGAGCGTGCCCACCAACCGCGCGGCAGGCCTGCTCGCAGCATCAGTACACGTTTCCCCTTCCGGCGGCTCGACGACGACCTCCCCGCCCCTCTCAGCGCTGCCAGGCAGGCTTCCAGCACTGCCAGGCACCTCGGCCTCCTCGTCGGGCGCGCGTCCGCCCGCAAGGGCGACGAGGACCTCCTTGGCCTCCAGGGTCCCGCCCCTCTTGGGGTGCTGCCCCCGAGCCAACAGACGGAGAACACGCTTGCGACTCGTTGGCAACTCCTGCGGGTCAGGGCAAGGGGCCGCGAAAGCCCTGCCCACCCTGTCGGGCCCGTAGGCCCCGCACCGCCGACACCGCACCACCGTGCCCGTGACGGTGACGTCGTGTCCTCCAGGCACGAGGGCGCTCTGCCCCTCGAGGCCCGCCCACCCCGCCCCCAGACGGCCCCCCCGTCACCGCGACCAGGAGACGAGCCCCCCGAGGCCCCACCCAAAAGGCCGCCCCCAAGCGAACCCAACCGGGTCGGCGTTGGCGCGAGCCTCCTGGATCTTAGCTTGCAGACAAGCCACAGCTGAGGGGACACATCTCTTGTCGGTGCCTCCAGCCAGCTGTCTGCGGGCCACCGCAGTCTTAGCCGAGCGTCGGCACCTTCTGCAGAACAACCTATCTCCTAGCTCCACAAGATCGTGCTCATGCAGCGCGAGAGTCAGCCTAGGCTGGGTCGGGGTCTTGGCCCTCGCCCTGCCGTCGGCGCCTTCGGCCGCGCCCCTCTCGGACCACAGCTCGAGCCTACAACTCCGCTGGACCGCCCAGGCGAGGTAGCGAGCATACACCTTGGCACTCGATAGGCAGTCCTTATAGAACCTACAATGCCCGTCAGGCAGCTTGACCGACAGGGCCCCAAGCTTGGCGAAAACATCCGCCCACCTGTTCCCGACGACCCAGAGGAAGGGGGGCGAGGAAGGACCTCCAGGAGCGGGGAAAGAGCACATCCTCATCACCCAGGTGGGACGGTACCCAGGCGAAGCTGGGAGGCTCACGCTGGAGACGGTTGAGCTGCCGCCAGACACTCGGGTAGGCAGCACTCGCCGCAGACAAACTAGCCACCTCACCAGCCTTCCACTGGCGCCCTTCGTTCACGAACTCGAGCAGATCACTTATAACCAGCCTCACTGACGGCATGTGCTGGAGGGCCTTGAGCCCCGCAACTCTCTCAGCTTTGCCTACAGTCAGCTGGCCGCCTGCGAGACAACCGCGCGCCGCTCTCACAGGAACTCCATTGGCATCTATCATGGCGGCAGCCCAGCCGCACCGACGCAGTTCGGGAACATCACAATGGTATCCCGAGCCGTCCGTGAACACCCTCTGGCTCCAACCGTCACTCGGCGACGCCCAGTCAACCCAGAGCAAGCTCGGAGGGTCCTCTGGCGGCGGTGGCACAGCAACGCGCGGCCACCGTGGGGCCCCCACGCCAGACGCGAAGGAGTCCGTGTCCTGGCGCCCCTCTCCTACAGGTCAGTGCTCGAGCATCGCATCCCTAGCCGCAGCCAGCTGGGGGTCGAGGCCACGGTCCTCGTCGTCGCCCAGCAGCCGCTGCGTCAGCGCTGGGCACTCGACGAAGGCATGCCCGAGGGGCTCCATCCTATGCGAGCACGCTCTGCAGCCCTGGTGCTCACAGAGTCCTGTCTTATAGAGCTTGGCCCGAGGCCACAGGGAATCAGCCCAGAGACTGCGAAGCGCCCCCGCCCTCCCCGCCCCAGTCACCGCCGCCCCCCGCCCCCCCGCACAGGCGCGCAGGCCTCTCGGCCACAGCGGCGGCGTCTTGGGGAAGGCACAGCGCCCCGCCTCCCCGCGCACAATGCACGAGCAACTCATGGCGTCACGGTGTGCCGCGATCTGCCTAATCTGCCACCTCTGAATCCCCTGCCCCAGGAGGTCCCGAAGAAACCGTGGTGGAGTTGCCAGTAACGAAATCACTGGTCCTTCATCAGGTTTGACCATCAGCGACGAGCACATCACCCAGCCGATCCGTTTGAACGACAGGATGACAACCTTCAGCGGCCCCCTGGCCGCTGCCCACGTGAGCTTGTCGTCGCCGACCTCCACCTTGTCCAGCGTGGCTCTCCTGGCCCGCTCCAGCGCCCCCAAGCTGATCTCCCGGCGCCAGATCACCCTGGCGCACTGCATGATCGGCTCGAACATGGCAGCGAAGATCGGGTCGTAGTAGGGGTTCCGCTGGCTCGCCAGGTAGAGACTGATGCTGCCTCCTCGCCCTTCGACACCTGCCAGTCTCGCCGCCTCCGAGCGCATCGCGCCCAGCTCACTCGGCGAAACGCCTCCCACCGCGGCCCCATGCGCCGTGGAAGGCAGCAGGCCCGTCTGCCACAGGCAGGCAGCCTTGGTGCCAGCGGCCCTCCTCAAAGTCCTCGCTGTTATTATCCTTGGCCTCAACTTCTTGAGCCTGCTCTTAGCCACCGTCCTTCTCGCCTTCGTGCCGTTGAGGTCGTGGCCGAGGTTCCTCACGTGCTGCTTCGGGCGGATCTTGACCTTCGAGGCGAAGGGCGTCACCGCCGCATGGCCCCGCCTCGACGAAGCAACATACCCCGACTTGCCCACCTGCAGCTCCAGCCCGACCTCCGCCACCTCGCACTTATACCTGAGCACCGCCTCCCAGAGCACCCGCACGCCACGCAAGTCCTGGCCCACCCACTGGACCGAGGCATCGTCCGCCAGAGTCCTGGGGATGACATCGAACTTGGCGAGCCTCTTGAGCGACCGTGCCGTGACCACCACCAGCACCGCCATCGAGTGGGAGCAGCCCGCCAAGATGCCCCGGTGCGCCGTGAAGCCCGTCGACAGCGAGCCAAACGCCTTGAGCCTCTTCGGCACGTGGTGGTACTTCAGGATCGACCACATGAGGCGAAGAGGACACCCCATGCTTCTGGCTTCACCTAGCACTCGTGCGGCGATGAGGAGGAGGAGGAGGAGGAGGAGGAGGAGGAGGAGGAGAAGGAGGAGGAGGAGGAGGAGGAGGAGGAGGAGGAGCCGGGAGAGAACCGGGAGGCGGAGGCGACGGACGCACGGCCGGGGATCGCCACCGGCCCCCCCTGGTAGGCGCTCGCGCGACCGCCGGAGGCAAGGAGCGGGAAAGGAGAGGGGAGGGGGAGGGGAAGAGGGGGAGAGGGGGGTACACAGGCAGGGGCGCTGCGAGCGGCGCGCGCCCTTCTCAGTTTGCGGGCTGCCCCCGGCCAGCAATCAGCCCACCGCCGCCACCTGGGCAGGCTGCTCTCCGCAGCGTCAGGCCAGCCCGGCTGCGCGGCGGCGCTGCAGCGCCAGCTTCGCTTGCACGGCGCAACTGACGACCTTGCAGGCCCGGGTCAGCTCGCCGACCGGCTCGTCCTCGGACAGGGTGCACACCTGCCGCAGAAGCCATTGTCGGGCTTCCCGCCCAGGCGCCTGGGGGGTTCTACCACAATGGCGTCAGTCTGCCCCCTGGGTAACTGGCGTGCTTCTTGCGCTCGCCCCTCCTGGCGGCCTCGCCAGGCTGGCGCACCGCCGCCTGCACCGCGTCCTCGGCTGCCGGGTGCGGATCGAAACATCGATCCAATGGCGGCCGGCTCCGTCGCTGCACTCGACGTCGAAGACCGCGCGACCGCGCGACCGAGGGGGTCTGCGTCCGGCGGGTTTGCTGGCAACCGGCTGCGGACACGGTCCCAAGCCGGCACCCGCTGCTCCGCCAGCGGCGTGCAGCCAGCGGCGGACCAGGCTGGCCACCGCGTTTTCGAGGCTGCCGTGGCGGCGTGCACACCGCCGCCCAGGGAGCAGGCGGTCGCGCGCGCGCCTTGCTCGTCCAGCGGCTGTCCGCAGGGCGCGCCGTGAGCTCTCTCGGCGGCCGGGCGGTTCTGGCAAGTACTGCGCGGCCGTCTGGAGCTCTGCCTGCGCGCGTTCAGGCATGGGCAAGTGCGCGCGGGCACGGGGCCCTGTGGCCCAGAGCGGGTCTTCCAGCGAGCAAGCGGGGTCGCTCGGGTAACCGAGGAACCCCGCGGCCCCTGGCCCTCCGGCCCCCAGGAACGTCGCCCGCCAGTGGCTGTGCAAACGCTGCCTTGGGGAAGCGTGGGTTTTCTTTTGCGCAGCTTGCACAAGGGCGCTCTGCTCCGCCGCGTGCTGCAGGGCGTCCAGCAAAGAAGCGCCCGGTGTGGGGTCCGCGCCCTGGAGGGAGAGCTCCGTCCGCGCGTCGGAGGGGCTTCGCCGAGTCGTGGCGCCGCGTCCAGGAGCTCGAGCAGGGAGTCGGCGACGAGGTCCGCGGCCACGCAGGACACGCGCGACGCCCAGCCGGCCCAGAACGCCGCGGCTCGTCGCGCGGTAGCCCAGTGCAGCCCCGCGCCAGACGGCTTGAGGGGAGGCCGAAGATCTCCCGCGCCGCGGCGTCCAGGTGCCACTCGCCGAGCTCCCCCCAGCAGCCCGCCAGAATGGCGCCGTAGCGGGCTGCCTCAGTTTCGCCGGCCAGCTGCGCGCGCAGGACGCGCTGGCTTGCAGCGCCCGCGCAGACGCGCAGCAAACTTCCCAGTCGCTTGCAGCGATAGGCCGTGCTCGCCAACCGTGCGCTTCCCAAGCGGCCCGAGGGCGTTCCAAAGCTGCGTCAAGCACCCGGCCGACTGCTCAAGGCCGCTATTCTGGCCCAGCTCGACGGGCGCGTCTGCCAAATCGCCCCGCGCCCGCAGGTGCGAGCCGAGCGCGGGGGGCGCTGGCGCGAAGTGCGCGCGTTGCTCTGGGGGCAAGGCCAACTGCCGCGTCCATCCCCGGATCTGCTGCCATGGTAGCGGGAGCCGGAGCTCCAGGACGGTGAGGGCGAAAACTGCAAATCCAATATCCAACGCAATGGTTGGTATGGTGGGGCGGGAGCTACGGTAAGCGGCTGCCGACGTCGACAGGGCAACAAACGACAGACACGGGGAGCCTCTCTAACTCTCTCTTCTCTCTTCTCTCCTCTCTCCTCTCTCCTCTCGTTTCTCTCCTCTCTCTTCTCTCCTCTCCTCTCTCCTCTCTCTTCTCTCCTCTCTCTTCTCTTCTCCCGCCGCCTCGTCCTCCTCCTCCTCCTCCTCCTCATCATCATCCTCCTCCTCCTCCTCCTCCTCCTCCTCCTCCTCCTCCTCCTCATCATCATCATCATCATCGTCATCATCATCATCATCATCATCATCAGCATCATCATCATCATCAGCATCATCATCATCATCAGCATCATCATCATCATCATCATCATCATCATCATCATCATCATCATCATCATCATCCAACTCCTCCTCCTACGCCTCTCCTCCTCCTCCTCCTCCTCCTCCTCCCGCCTCCGCCTCCTCCTCCCCACCTCGTCCTCATTGTCCTCCTCGTCCTCCTCCTCATCCTCGTCCTCCTCCTCATCCCCCTCATCCTCCTCCTCGTCTCTCCTCTCTCCTCTCTCCTCCCGCTCCCCCCTCCTCCTCCACATCCTCATCCTGCTCTTTCTCCTCCTCCTCCTCCTCCTCCTCCTCCTCCTCCTCCTCCTCCTCCTCCTCCCTTTCCTCCTCTCTATCCGCTCCTCCCATTTCCTCCTCCTCCTCCTCCTCCTCCTCCTCCTCCTCCTGCTCCTTCTCTTCATCCTCCTCCTCCTCCTTCTCCTCCTCAACCTCCTCCGCGCTCCTCCCTCCTCCTCCTCCTCCACTTCCACGTCCTCCTCCTCCTCCTTCTCCTCCTCCTCCTCCTCCTCCTCCTCCTTTTTCTGTCCCTCCTCCACCTCCCCCTCCTCCTCCTCCTCCTCCTCCTCCTCCTCCTCCTCCTCCTCATCCTCCTCCTCCTCCTCCTCCTCTTCCTCCTCCTCCTCCCCTCCTCCCATCCTCCTCCTCCTCCTCCTCCTCCTCCTCCTCTCCTCCTCCTCCTCCTCCTCCTCCTCCTCTCCCTCCTCCCCCTCCACTTCTCCTCCTCCTCCTCCTTCTCCTCTTCCTCCTCCTCCTCCTCCTCCTCCTCCTCCTCCTCCTCCTCCTCCTCCTCCTCCTCCTCCTGTTGGCTCCTGCCGTCTGTCCTGCAGAAACGCAAAAAAAAAAGCAAGGCTGGCCCTCCTCCTCCTCCTCCTCCTCCTCCTCCTCCTCCTCCTGTTGGCTCCTGTTGGCTCCGATGCCGTCTGTTACCGCTGGCAGAACCTGCAGCAAAGCGGCGAAAAAGCAAGGCTGGCAGTTCAGTGCCCGTCGATCCCGAGGAAGGCCTCCAGATCCTCGAAGCGGGGGCGGAGGTGGCGCGGGAGGTTCGAGCCCCTGGAGTCCAGCACCAGGTACTCCTCCCACGCCGCCTCCCGCGTGAGCTCGCGGCCCTTCTGGTCGAGCATCGCCGAGTGGGCCACATCTGCTTCCGAGTCCGAGTCTGGCGCCATGATCAGCGCGAGGTCGCCCGCAGCGATGTGACCAAATACTGTGTCCATCCCACCGTCGATGTCACCTACCATGGAGGAGTGGGGTTCCATGGCAGGCTGCTGCTGCACAGGGTCGCCATGAGCAGCGTCCGTCGCCGAGTCGATCTGGATGGCCTTGTCGACCTCGGCCAGCACCTTGTCCTCCCCCGCGGAGTCCACGGAGACCTTCTCCGAGTCCGCCTCCTCAGACGGGTCGGCTGTCTCCGAGGTGTCATCCGCCTTGTCGTACCGCTCGGCCTGCTTGCGCCCGCGCCTGCGGCCACGCTGTCGGCTCCGCTTCTCCTTGACCGGCAGGCCCAGGACACCGGCGCCCTCGCCGAGCTCGGCGTGGGCCGCAAGGTTGCGGTCCAGGCGGACCGCGCCTGGGACGGGCAGTCCCGCGACCTGCAGCTTGAGCGCCCGCTCGATCGCAAGGAGGCGCGTCGCAACCTCCTGCCTGCCCGCCTCGCCGAGCGGCACCTGCTGCACTTCCTGCTGCAAGCCCAGCAGCGAGGCGCCCGTGCGGAGGGCAGCAGCGACAGCCGCCGCCACGCTCTGCCGCCCGCCTCCGCCCTCCGCAGCCCCCGCTGCCGCCGCCCGAGCCAGTGGGGCGAGAGCCGCCACCAGATCCCCGCTGGGGGCGAGACCGTAGCCACCGCCTTGTCCAGGCCATCCTTCGCCGCCATCGCGGGGGGCCGCGGAAGGGGAAGGAGACTGAGCCGCTCTCGAGCGCAGCAGCAGACGAGAGAGGCCAAGCGAGCACCTGCCCGCCTGGCGCCCAAGGCAGGCTTGAGCCAAAATGGCTACGGATCCTCCTCCTCCTCCTCCTCCTCCTCCTCCTCCTCCTCCTCCTCCTCCTCCTCCTCCTCCTCCTCCCCCTCCTCCTCCTCCTCCCCCTCCACTTTCACTTCCTCCTCCTCATCCTCCTCCTCCTCCTCCTCCTCCTCCTCCTCCCCATCCTCCCCCTCCTCCTCCACCTCCTCGTCCTCTTCCTCCTCGTCCTCCTCCTCCTCCTCCTCCTCCTCCTCCTCCTCCTCCTCCTCCTCCTCCTCCTCCTCCATAGCCAACGCAACGCTTCACCACAACACGCGTGCATGTGCAACAGCATGTATGGAGGCCAAGGCCTCGCCCGACCAGGCCTGGAGGAGATGGGCAACACGGAGCGGGGATCGGCTGGGGGGGGAGGAATGGGGGAAGCACCCAGGCCTGTAGGTGAGGGGTGGCACGGAGGGGGGACCGGCTGGGTGGGGGTGGGGTGGGACACCCAGCCCTGGAGGCGAGGGGCAACACGAAGGGGGGACTGGCCCAGGGGGGGGGAGAGAAACATCGGCTTGGAGTCAATGATACATCGCCGATAGGTCGGCGATGGGCCCCCGATAGCAAAACCGCAAGTTCCCGGACGGGGCGGGCTATCGCGCATCGCGCCCCTATCGGCGATGAATGGGCGATTGGGGGTCGATGCGTCCCCCCCCTGCGCCTAGCCCCCCCCTTGGCTCGCTCCCTCCTCGGCCTCCGAGCCTCCGTCGAACGCCGTGCAATGCAGCCCACGTGGTCACGCCTCCGCCAGAATGCGGCTTCAGCGCGGATCGGGCGTTGGCGCGACTGCGTTTAGTGGGTTCTGGTTTAGTGATGTGTACTGGGGGACGCCCCCCCCCCGCCCCATTTCACAAACCCGAGCTGCCGTCACACGAAGAAAAACCAGTTACGGCAGACCTGGCTGAGTGATTCCATTCCATGTTTGCGACTTCGGCGCCCAATCACCCAATCACTAAGGGGCTCCTTTTCACTGGGGCCCCGAATATACCCGAGCGGCAGCGGCGGCCAGTCCGGGCGCGGTGAGCGGGGCGGAGACGGAGCCCCCTCTGGCCCTAGCTCGACTCGCTGGCGATGGGCGGGCCCGGAAGCGGTGGGCAAGGCGGAGGCGAAACTCGCGGGGGGGCGCTGCCGCCGACAGGCCCACGTGAGCGGGCCCTCAAGCCCGGTCCTCCCTTCCCCCCTCATCATCCGCCCGGTTGCATCCGCCCCCCCTCTTCATTCTCCTTTCCCTCCTCCCTCCTCTCCTCCCTCCTCCTCCTCCTCCTCTTCCTCCTCCTCCTCCTCCTCCTCTTCCTCCTCGTCCTCGCCCTCGTCCTCGTCCTCGTCCTCGTCCTCCTCCTCCCTCCTCCTCCTCCTCCTTCTCCTCTTCCTCCTCCTCCCTCCTTTCTCCCTCCTTCTCCTCCTTCTCCTCCTCCTCCCTCCTTTTCTCCCTCCTCCTCCTCCTTTTCCTCCTGGTCCTCGCCCGTCCCCACCACACCGAGGAGAAACCACCTCCTCGGTCATGAAGAAAGTCGATTCTGCACCTCGGGGCCATCCCGCGGGACCAAGGCTTCGTCCCGAAAGATTTTTTGACGGCCCAGGGGTTGCTGGAAGGCCCCTTGAGACCAAAAGCAGAGAAAACCTCCTGGGACCCGTTTTCCTTCATGGCCAGACTCCACCTCCTGCTGCAAGCCCTCCTGGAGGGCATCCGCGTTTCCAGCTGACGAAACCGCTCCGATTACCCGGAGGCCTCAAAAGTGAGGCCCGAGCAGACGGGGTCGGATGATCCCGCCGCATCGCCGATGATGTCGGCGATGCATCGGCGCCGTCGTCGCGAAAATCGGGCTCCGCATCGAAGCGCATCGCCGATGCGGACCGATCCTCCGACCGCTGCTGCTGGGAACCCCTTAAAGGAGGCCTCGATGACCCGATTGTCTGCGACACCTGGCGAATCCTACCCCTACGGCGTCCACGGATACATTCGACGCTGGGATTTCGGACACCCCCCGGGGACCTGGCTCCAAACAGCCTTCCCCAGACATCCGGTGTTTCCGATGTGTGGAACCCAGAGATGTGGAGCACTTCTCCAGGGCCCGTGCTTTTCATCCTGAGCCGTCTTTCTTGACGGTCCCAAGGCCTGTGGAGGGCGCCAGGAGGCCGAACAGATCCCCAAATCGGGCCACCCCAAAGCATCGGATCTCTGTGCGGGGCCCAAAAACGCACCACCACCACCACCACCACCACCACCACCACCACCACCACTTCCACCCTCATCCCCTCCCTGCCCCAGGAAAACTAAGAGGAAGAGGAGGGTAGAGGGGGGAGGGGAGGATGGAGGTGGTGGCGGCGCATCTTATTGGGGCCCGGTGTTTCAAAAATCTCTCCTGCGCGGGCCCCAAGAATATACGCCACCACCACCTTCATAATTACCCCTCCCCTCCTCCAGCCTCGTCTTCCTCTCCTCTTTCCTGGGAGGGGGAGGGGCTGAGGGAGGCGGTGGTGGTGTATATTTGCGGGCCCCGTATCCTGCAGGGGTACGTGTACGGCTCACGTGTGGTTGCCAGCGCGGGCCCGCCCTGGGCCTCTCGAGCCGCCGCCAGCCCGAACGGGGGGCCAGCCCCTTGGAGGGGCGCCCCCAAAAGGCATCGGCGCGACGCACGGCGTCGCCCCAAAGGAGCGCCGGACGAGCACGCAACAGCTGGCCCTGATGGTTTTTGTTGCGACACCTCTGGCCCTCTCAGGCTCAGCGGGCCCAGGAAACTTCAAGGGAAACTTCAAGGTATGTTGTTGTCACTTGCTCCGTTTTGCAGTCTTTGCTGCTGGTCCTGGCTGAATGTTTATCCTGGTTCCGTCGCCGTGGATTTAGTCAACCCCACCCTGTTACGGTGTTGCCCCATAAGGCAAGCCACAAGGCATGTGCAATTGCGCGCTGGCCAAAACACAACGTCGGCGACGCGGTTTCCGGCAGTGGCATCGCACGACGGCCAACAGCTCGCGCCCTCACGAGCGCCCGCCGCCTGTCGCGACGACTCCAACGTCGCCACTAGGAGGGTGCGCGCGCGGCTACAAGCCGAACGCGGCGCCCCATTGGCTGTAAGAAACCGCACGGGGAGTCGCTCCCAAGTTTGGTGTTCTCGGCGGATGCTCCGGGCACGGCTGATTTTTCACTGAAGCACGAGATACCCAGGAAGAGGGTCCGGAGGGAAAGGGAACGCGGGGCTGGTTGAGGGGGGCGGCGTGAGGAGGCTTCTGGGGGGAGGAGCCCTGCCCCCGATTGAAGCCACCAACCACCTAAGCCGATTTGGACAACATTTTCGTGATCGGGTTTTTGGGCTGCCCCGGAACCGCGGCCGAGAACCCGGGCACTGCGCCAGGTCAAAGCCGCGCGAAGCGGGCCGATTGGCACGAATCCCCTGCGCCCCCCTCACACATGCGGGTGTAAGGTTTTGCGCCTCCAAGGCCACGATCTTTCTAATTCTTGCCCGGGTCTGCTTCGGGATCTCCATGGATTGCCCCGTGCCCAAATGAAACGCGCGGATGACTCAGAAGGTGAAATATTGACAAGCAGCCCCACGAAAGGGCCATAGCGGATCCCGGACAACCCTCCGAGAGCCATGGGCTAGCACAATGGGAACCCTGCGAATCCGACCTGGCAGCCGCAAACACTTCCAGTTCCCCAAAACCGCCCCCCAGGGCCCCGAAATGGCCAGAAGAAGGCCCCAGAAGCGCCCAGGAATAAAACGGTAACGAGGAACGGGAAGAGAACGGGGACAAGGAGGACGGAGTCCCCGATGCCCAGATCAGCGGGGACTGGCGGCACTGCCCAAAGGCATCCGTGGTAGATTCACACGGCGGGGGGGCGGACAAACCGCGCCCCCCGTCCTCCGAATCATCATTATCATCACCCTCCGCCTCCTCTCCCTCCGCAAACAGTTCCAAGTATTCCTCCGCCTCCCACTCCTCATCCTGTCCTTCAGCATCGTCCCCCTATTATTTCTTCCACTATCATTTTTTCCTGTCCCTCCAAACAACGCCACCACCGCAGCGTATCAGTCTTGACACGCGCAGGCGCCAGCACAGCGTATCAGTCCTGAGACGGCACGAATTTCAGTCCTGACACGGGCCCGTTTCAGTCCTGACACGGGAACAAATTCAGTCCTGACACGGAAATCGTTTCAGTGCTGACACCGTCCCAGAACGCTGTAAAACACATCACAAGCAACCATCTGCACCCTGACACGCGACCAATTTCAGTCCTGACACGGGAGTCGTTTCCATCCTGACACGGGACCAATTTCAGTCCTGACACGCCAGCGTTTCAGGCCTGACACGCGGTGGGCCGACGAGCGTTTTTCAGTCCTGGCACCGCCCATCGCCAGGCCCTCCCGCCACTGCGACCGACTCCAGCGACTCACCTCCGCGACACGCCGGGACCGCGCCTGCGACCTTCCCGCGACCCGCGCCCGTCACCTCCGCCCACAACCCACGCGCACGACGCGTTTCCGTGACCCTGCACTAGCTACTTGTTGGATTTGCCCCAGGCCGTCCTGAGGGGGGGTGCATTAGGCTCCGTGCCCCATGGACACCAAGGCGCTGCACGCGTGCGCGCTCTGGGAAACCACGCGACTCCTGTCCGAGCTCAATGACGCGATCTTGGCGCCCTCCTGGACCGCCACAACCTTGCGCAAGCTGGCCAGGAATATGCCCAGCTCGCGCATGCGGAAGGTATCGTTGCAAAGGAGGTCGCCCGCGTGTTGTCCGTGAGGCTCCACGACTCCAGGGGTGGCGGCTCCTCGCCCGCCGCCGACAGGAGGCACTCCTCCACCACGCGCACACTCTGCGGCATGATCTGCGCGACGCGCGCGCAGTTCCAGCCGCTTTCCTCCGCCTGGCGCCGCGCGAGAGCGGCGAGGGGCGTGCCAGTCTGGACGGACACTTTGCCCGGCAGCGTCTGGGCGGGCGGGCGGGCGGGGCGCTGCCGTCACGCGAGCCGAGCAGGGTCACGACGCCACCGTCCACCCGCGGCGCCAGAGGTCGCCCTCCTTGCGGCGAGCGCGGGGACGCCAGGCTCCTGACGGTGTCACGGAGGAGGCGCGGCAGGAGGGCGCCCCCGCAAGCGCGCCAAGAGCTCATCCGCAGGGGAACAATGCGACCCGCATCGGCTGCGACCCTGGCGCGGTGCACGCCCTGAAAGTGCTCGGGGGCCCTCCGACGCTGGACCAGGAAGGCCAGCAGCACGGGAGCGACGCAAAGCGAAACGGCTGGGTTCTGTCTGGGTCATCCCTCGCAGAAGACCCCGTGTGAGGAACAGATTTGCGAATGGCTCCCAACCCGTGCTTGACGACGCCCCTGCCCCAGGATTCCCAATGATGCTCCAGGGGACCGAAGAAGAGGGCCGGGTGGGCAAGCAGGGGCGAAACCCACGAATGCATGTCACTCACACCGACCATTGACCCGCCTGAAGGAGACAACAGGTATATGGCACTCTAGCAAGATGGCTGTAGCTGGTGAGCTGGGACATGCGACCGCAACCACTGGGGCCTTCGGTGGGGCTCCCTACGGGCCCGCGAGACGCGTGAGAGGTGTGCCGACATTGTGAGGTGGCGACGTGTCAATTATGTGACATGGAAGATGAACCCATCGCAAAAAGGCAGCGCCAGGGTCTGGTATGGTACTGTACTCATCGATGATATTTGGGGGCTCTGGTTTGGATTCCAATCCCAGAGCCGCTTTCCCCGCTTCCTGACGTAATTGCTGTTATTTCCGGGTTTCATGAGCATGCTTATTGTTGCAACGGCAGAAGAACGATCCTGCCATCTCCAGGGACCACTCAGCTGCCAAGTGTTTTTTGTTTGTCAAGAACGGCACTAAGGGAAGAAACGGCAGCATGAACATCAGCTTTGGAAGGTCCGCGCGGGACTTCTTGTATCGGCTCTCGCCCCCACTGTCCGCACCTCCGGCGCCGCATCTGGCATGCCCCGCGCATCGGGAAACGGGGCGCAGCGCCGACCCAAGAAATCCGCTCGGACCTCCGAATGTTTCCCCATTCGTCTCCGACGCACACACACACACGCACACTCCGACACCCCCGCACATCTCAGACATCAGCCAGCACTACGAATCAAAAACCGAGTCGCCTGTCAGAAGTCGCGAGGCACAGTCAGCCGCACGAGGACGGAGGAGGACGAGGACGAGGAACGGTCCTCCCAGGTGATCTCGCGGTCGTTGTCGGCGTCGGCGCCCTGGAAGAATTCCATCACCTGGGGCAACGTTCGGGGGGGACCGGCTCGCGGCAGATACCTCCACCTCGAATCGGCAATACATCGCCAGCACATCGGCGATATGGGCCCCCGATGGCGAGTCCGAACGTTCCTGGGCAGGGTGGGCTATCAGGCCGTTATCGGCGATGAACGGGTGATCCACCCTGAGCCTATCCCCACTGAACCTTTTCTCCCTGAGCCTATCCCCCCTGAGCCTTTCCCCCCTGAGCCTATCACCCCTGAGCCAACCCCTTTGAGCTTGTCCCCCCTGAGCCTTTCCCTCCTAAAGTTGCCCCTGATCACCGCCGGCCGTGAAGGGCCCTCCTGGTGGATCTCCGACGGGAGGCCGAAGAATGTCGCGACTTCCGGGCGCTGGCGGCAGGCCTTGATGAGCTCCCGCAGGTTGATGCTGCCTGGGGCTGGCGAGTGCACGCGGCGGCATGATCAGCCCCCTCACGGGGGCCAAACATCTCTCGCGCTGTGACAGAAAAACGACGGCGGTCAATTTCTGAACGTGTTCGGCCTCTGGTGGCTCTCTCCGGGACCCGTGACCGTCGAAAAACGACTCAGGAGAAACGGGTCCCGGGGAGGAGGGGGAACAAAAAAAGAAAACAGAACGCCGAGGGTCTGGGGACAGAAGGAGCTCGTGGGCAGGACACATAATATCCATGGTCATGGCGCTGCGGTCGGGGCCCCCATCGGCCGCGACTGCACGACTGCGGGGCAGCTTTGCGCAGATGCCCCGCGTGGAGCGTGCGTGTGCGCGGGATTGCAATCCCGCGGTATCCAGACCGCAAGGACATGGACATTCCCCAATCAGTGCTTGCACTGAAAGGGTCCTAGCGGAAGTTGGAGGATTTGGCGAAAATTTCCCGCCGATTTTGGTAGCAAGCTAGGTTCCCGGGTTCCCGGTTCCGGGTTTCCGGGTTCCCGGTTATGGTTTCCAGGCCGATTTCGGTGGGTTCTGGGTTCCCTGGCTCCCGGGTTCCCGGTCGATCTCCTCAGCGAAAACTATCCACAGATAGAGTTTTTTCTTTGGTGTAATGGATATCGGATACGTTCGTCGCTCGTGAGACGGCGAGGGGCAAGGTGGAGAGGAGCCCGTTCGTATGGCATCGCAGGTGCTACAAAGGGCCTGGGCGGCCCAGACGCAGCGTAGCTTCCGAACCGCCCCGCGTTGCATCTCTGAGCACCTCGCACGCACAGGAGAGATAGTGCAAAGGCACCCTCGAATCGCTTCGAACGTACCTGCGGGGCGCTCCGAATCTACATCCTCCCCCTTCATCGTGCTCCCCAGATGCCCAGCGCTGTGATGATCTAGAGACGTGGATCCCTGGACCCCCTTCCCCCGGATCCTTTGTCATCCAGCTTCCTGTTCCAGGGCCTGGAGAAGAGATGTTTTTGAAAGTGAAAGAACGCCCGTCGTGATTTTGTCACGATGCGAGGGGGGTGCTTCGTCACCCCGGAGCAATATGTTAAGCCCTGGCTGCCGTCGCTGTTGGCGTCGCAGGCCTGGAACACGTCCCGCAACGTCTGAAGGTCCTCTCGGCGTGGGCTGGTGTGTGCGCCCAGAGGCCCATCCACCCTGGCTCGGAAGTGACAGTCGCACAAATCGAAACATCGAAACTCGACTCGACTCTACCTTCAGTTCAGCAATCCTCAGTGCCACTACGGGGGGAACGGTGACACACGCAGACACATACACACCAACATTCAAACCAGGACGAATCCCTGGGTCCATGCTGTCGTGCATCGCGGCGCTGAGAAACCTCTGAGCGCGGCGGGTGCCTTACATTACACCTTCACTATACACGTCGTTCATGTCTAAACGTGCTCGTTTCTGATTGTTCCTGGCCCCTAGTGGAAAGGAGGAGGCCCAGGATAGAGCAATCAGAAATGAAGAGATCTTTGCCCCCAAAAAAATCAAAGAACTTTCGACTAATTGGAAATGAACAAAGTGTACGTGTCGAGCTCGTGCGGTCCCTCAAGAGAGGACGCGGGCCCACAGCACCCACGGAGCCCGCACGCAGCCGGCAGGAGCGCAGGAGGGGCAGGAGGAGGAGGAGGAGGACGAGCATGGGGGCAACGTGGCTGACCGAATCGACTGCGACGCGCGCGGGAGGCCTGCAGTTCAGCAGCGGCCTGCAAGAGAGGCAGCAGGGCAAGGCAACGATGGCGAAGCCAAGAGGGTGATGGAAAACCGCACAAGCCCCCTGAAACGCTGGAAAATGGCAGCCAGGGGAGATGGCGAGCGAACGGGGAGGGAAGAGAGAGAGACAGAGAAGGACAGCGGAATGGAGAGTCCAGCGCCGGGTGCACGCATACGCCCCTCTCCCTAAGCTCCAGTTCTTAGCCGTTGCTGCGCACGACAGGACGCCAACCTTCAAAAGAGCAAGCTTAAAGCTTGAGGCTGGAGCTTCACCTTAGCTGCTCGAGCTTGAGCTTAGGATCCCGCGTGAGAGCCAAGCGTGGTTGGAACATGTTCAGGGAAGGTTGAAGCGCACATGTCGGAGACCACCACACGAAAACAACTTTTGTTTACACTGCCGTTGCTGTTGCATTGCAATGTTTGTTGTGCACTGCAAATTCTTTAAATGGCGCTGCTAGAGCTTGAGCTTAGGATTCCGCGTGAGAGCCAATCGTGGTTTGGGGATGTCCAGGGAGGGTTGAAACCACACGAACACAATTGTGTTGCATTGCGTGTGTTTGGGCATTGCAGGTTTTCCAAACCATCCTGTGGTGGTGGGTCCTCGTCTTGAAGAGACGGCGCCCCGCATCTCCTTTTCTCCTTTACTCTCCTCCGTCCTCCTCCTCCTCCCTCACTCTGGCACGTCCCTCACGCGTTTCGTGGCCCCATAGGAGCTACACCGAAGGCCCCTGTGGCTGCTCTCGCACGCGGGACCCCCACGCTGTACAGCGCTTCGTGGCCCCATACTTACGCAGGACGAAAAATTTGCCTCTTGGGGTGGCAATAACGATGATGAGTTCGACAGGTAACATCGGCGCCGCCGAACGGACGGCGTCTGGAAAAGTTGCGTGCAGCTCGTCCCTTAGGAGAGATACGCATTCATGTTGAGTGGGGCCCGCGCGTGCGGGAAGTTAATGGGAGTGCACGACCTAGCACAGGACCCATCCTGGAACGTCGATGACCGAATCCCCTTCCCCCGTAGAATCTTAATACGGGCGGGTTCCAGCGTCCGCAGATCCGATTTCGTCCGATTCCCAAGTTTGATTTTTTTTTTAAAAAAAAAAAAAACCTTAAACGGGGTAGAAGTTGGATCCCCCGAACAGGACAATAAGCAAGTTTGCGGATCCAGAAAATCCAAAACCGGATCCGCGCGGACGGAAATCGGATCCACCTAAACAACAACCATAACATCATTTGGATCCGCTTGGCCTTCGTGGGGTCCGACGGCGGTTATCCCATACGCGCCTATTCAAGACTTCAAACAAGACTTCAAACCGCCCTTCCGTGCCCAAGAAGAAAAATGTCGTCCTGGGGATGGGCGGTTTGGCCTTCGGACTCGTTGGTTACCACATAGCCGATGCGCCCCATCTCACAGGCAGTCCGTTGGGTCAGGAGACGCAGGGTGGAAGCGCACTGGGCGTTTTGGCCTTCGGACTTGTTGGTTACCATAAAGCCGACGCGCCACATTTCACAAGGAGTCCGTTGGGTCAGGAGACGCAGGGCCGAAACGCACTTACGCAGGACGAAAGATTTGCCTTGAGGTGACAATAGCGATGATGAGTTCGACAGGTAACATCGGCCCCGCCGAACGGACGGCTTCTCGACGAGCTGCGTGCAGCTCGTCCCGGAGGAGAGATACGCATTCATGCTGAGTGGGGCCCGCGCGCGCGGGAAGTTAATGGGAGGGCACGATACAGCGCAGGACCCGTCCTGGGACGTTGTTGACCGAATCCCCTTCCCCCGTAGAATCTGAACACGGGCGGGTTCCAGGGTCCGCGGATCCGATTTCGTCCGATTCCCCGTTGTAATTTAATAATTTACTAAATTTTAAACGAGGTAGAAAACGAGCCCGCCGAAAAAAAAAACGCACGCGGATCCAAAACATCCGAAATCGGATCCGCGCGGACGGAAATCGGATCCACCGAAATAAAAACCGTAATATCATTTGGACCCGCTCGACCTTCATGGGGTCCGGCGGCGGTTATCCCATACGCGTCTATTCAAGACTTCAAGCAAGACTTCAAACCGTCGTTCCGGGCGCAAGAGGAGAAAACTCTCGTCCTGGGGATGTAAGGGGGCTCCACTGAAGGCCCCAGTGGCTGCGCTTGCATGCTGGACCCCCACGCTGTGCAGCGTTTCGTGGCCCCATGAAGGAGGCTCCACCGAAGGCCTCAGTGGCTGCTCTCGCATGCGGGACCCCCGCGCTGTACAGCGTTTACTGACCCCATCGGGAGCTCCGCCGTAAGCCCCAGTGGCGACCCCGCCCCATTGCAGCGCACCCCTCACTCGTTTCGCAGCCACATAATGCGTTCCGCGTGAAGCTCCAGTGGCAGCGCCCACATGGCGGCCCCGCCCCACATCGGCACACCCTTCGCAGTTGTTCATGGCCCCATGAGGATATCCCCCGACGGCGATACCCGCAACGACGGTGCTCACGACTGCAAATGGATGAATCCTTCGCCAGGGTATGTTTTGCATTGCCGATGCTGGTGCCATGTAGTGGCGCTGCTCGAGCTTGAGCTTAGGATTCCGAGTGAGTGCCAAGCGGGGCGAGGGGATGTTCAGGGAGGGTTGAAGAGCACATGTCAGCGACGACGGCACGAAAACTGTTGTCGTCGCATTGCGGTGTCTGTTGCATTGCGGTGTTGTTGTGCATTGCAGCTTCTTTTGCGCTGTAGTGGCGCTGCTCGAACTTAAGCTCGGGATCCCGCGTGAGAACCAAACGTGGTTAGGGTGAGAGCCAAACGTGATTTGGGTAGGTTCAGGGGGGGGTGACGCACACATGTCGACGACCGCCACACGAACACAGTTGTGTTGATTTTCTTTGTTCTGGCATTACATGTTGTTTTTGCATTCCCGATGTTGGGTGAGCTTGAGCTTGGGGTTCCGCGTGGGAGCCAAGAGTGGTTCGGGGAGGTTCAGGGAAGTTTGAAGCGCACATGTCAGCGACGACGGCACGAAAACTGTCGTTGATGCATTGCATGTGTTGGCGCTGCGCTAGAGAGCTTCGCGGATCCCGCGTACGAGCCAAGCGTGGTTTGTAAAGGCGCAGGGAAGGTTGACGCGCGCATGCCAGCGACCAGCCCACGAAAACAGTTGGGTCGCATGGCGACGCGTTGCTTGAAGTGCAGATGTTGTTTTTCTGCATGGCTAGTTTTGCCCAACCATCTTGTGGTGTTGTGTCCTCGTCTTGAAGAGACAGCGCCCCGCATCTCCTCCTCTTCTCTCATCTTCTCTCCTCTTTCCTCCTCCCTCTCATCCCTCACTTTGGCACACCCCTGACACGCTTCGCGGCCTCCACGGAAGACACATGTGGCTGCTCTCGCACGCGGGACCCCCACGCTGTACCGCGCTTCGTCACCTCATAAGGGGCTCCACCGAAACCCTCAGTGGCTGATCTCGCACGCGGGACCCCCACAACGTACAGCGCTCCGTGGCCCCATCGGGAGCCCCACCGAATGCCTCAGCGGCGGTGTCCGCATGCGGTTCCCCCACACAGTACAGCGCCCCGTGGTCCCATACTATGGAGCCCCACAGAAAACCCCAGTGACGGCGCTCGCATGGGGGAACCCGACTCAAAACAGCGCTTCGTGGCTCCATAGGTGGCTTGACCGGATGCCTGAGTGGCTGCGTTCGCATGCGTTTTACCCACCCAGTACAACGTTCCGTGGCCCCTCAAGGAGGTCCACCGAAGGCCCCACTGGCTGCGCTCGCATGCGGTTCCCCCACGCAATACAGCGCTTCGTGGCCCCATCGGGCGCCCCACCGAGTGCCTCAGTGGCGGTGTCCGCACGTGGTTCCCATCCAGTACAGCGCCCCGTGGCCCCATAGGGAGCCCCACCGAAAACCCAAATGACTGCACTCGCATGCGCTGACATCACCCAATGCAACGTTCGGTGGCCCTCATGGGGAGCTCCACCGAAGGCCCCAGTTGCAGTGTCCCTATGCGTTTCCCCCACCTAGTACAGCGTTTCGTGGCCCCATCGGGTGCTCCGCCGAAGGCCCCAGAAGCGGCCCTGTCCCACTGCGGCGTACCCCTCAAGTGCTTCGCGGCCCCATCGTGGGTTTCGCGTCAAGCTCAAGTGGCAGCGCCCACATCACGCCCGAGTGCCCTCCCCATAACGGCACACCTTTCGCATGCTGCATGGCCCCATGAAGATATCCCCCGAAGGCGATACCCGCAACGAGGGCATTCACGACTGCATATGGTTGGGTCCGTCGCCAAGATAAGGTTGCATTGCAATGTTTTTGCGCTGTAGTGGCGCTGCTCGAGCTTGAGCTGGGGATCCCGCGTGCGAGCCAAGCGTGCTGCGGGGAGGTTCAGGAAAGGTTAACGCGCACATGTTGGCGACGA